GTGTATGTGTAGATGAATCCTAAACTCTGTGGAGAAGAGATCCCGCAAGCATCCTAGAAATTTACATACATAGATAATAACGTTTTGCTTTAAGAGATTTCAGAATCAATTGAATATAGTAAAACATAAGCTACTAAAAAAGCCAAATCTTATAAGACACATAGGTTCAATTAATCTGACACGTTTTCAAAAAGGAATAAAATCCCCACAATAACCAAAAAATGCAGGCTTCCTTCTGAGTTCCAAACACAGCTTTGGAAGAACACAAACAAAAGTCTCATTGTCTGCAAGGCCCCTGCTGCTTCGAGGGTCCTCAGACCGTCCTCTTTTGATTCTGAGGTGGCGCGGACCCCTTTTGTCACACACAATCTTCTCCACTGCCCCCGCCCGCGCCCCCGACCCAGGTCGAGGCTTCACAATCATGCTGAGTTTTGTGGGGAAGCCCGCAAAGACTTTTTCTTATGAAGCAATAAGCGACACAATCATTCCAGGTTGAGCCCCCGCTTTTGCTGCCCTCAGACCGATGCAAAGTTAACTATTCACGGGAAAGTTAACTATTCACGGGGCTGCCTAAGGGTTTCCCTGTGAGGTGTCGAATGGGGAATGCGGACTACAATGGTGGGGAGAGAGGCTGGAACCCGGCTGCCTTTCTTTCCTGGGAACTTCTTTTCTGAAGCAACTGAATGAGACCTTTACAAGCCAGGGTGGTGGCCTCCCTTCAGAATGCCTGGCCCGTTTCCCAGTGTGAAGCATTCCCCAAATATGCAACTTTGTGAGCATCCCAGTCGCCTGCGCTGAGAACCCGCCCGCCTGCCGCAGGAAAGCTGGCACCCACGGGGATGCCAGGGGTGGGGGCGCGTCAGGGCCCCTCTGCCAGGCTTGACCAGATGCTGGGGTGGCCCGGCCCCACTTTACATCGTCCCAGGAAAGAATCTGGCCAACAGTCTGGCTGTGACAAGAGCTAGAAGCTTCTCTCTCTCCCTTTAAATCCCCTCCTTCATTCAAATCCGATCCTATAAAAAGGCTTTTGTTGAAGGAACAGCCATGGCATCTTGGTGCACGTCTGTGCCATTCCTCTCGATATTTCCAAAGATGGACAAAAGAGAACATCGTTAGTTGAATTCCTGGGCAAACTGGTCTGAAGATTGACTTGGAAGGAGTGGAGGTAAATGGCAGCTGTCACGTGGCATTTGTTTTGTTTGCAAGTGATGAAGCCAAAGAAAGGGACTGCTGGTGGATGGTAAGAAGCCTCCTGCCAGGGGCCACCTCGGCAGCAGGCGAGCTCACTGTGTGTTTGGGGAAGAGCGTGATGTGGAGGCAGGTGGACTGTGCAGGCTGCTGTCACCTGGACGTGGGTGTTGAAGGGTGCGGTTGGCAAGGCTGAGGGCATTGTGTAGGATCACTTCAGAAAGAAAGAGGCTCTGATTTCATTACCATCACTTGCGGAGGGAGCCACTTTAGGTACCTTGCTCAAGTTTACTTGTATGGATTCCTGCAGAATACAGACATGATGACAGTCATATTCGGACATTGCGCTGCCTGATGCTCTGGGTGCCCACAACAAAATTGTGACCAAAGAAATGATATTCCTTCTCCTTGGTCTTAAGCTTTTGCTTAATTTCATCTCAACCTAGTGCCTTTGAAGCTCTTGAAACCTTTGTTTCAAGAAGACCACTGATGGAAAGACCTAGAAAGAGGATAGTTTCATGTGTCTTGCCAATTTTCATTTTATCCTTTGCTTATTTAAGTTGATTTTCTTTTGCTTTAGCTTTAAATGTACATGGTTGTCAAAACCAAAAACAACCAAAACGCCAAAAAGCAATGTCCAATAAATTACAGTATTTAGCATTCATAATGAATTAACTTTCTTTCCTGTGGTTTATTCTTCTTAAGCCTCAGTTCTTTGTCTGCTCAAACTGTGGGACTTTGTTCTGTTTTGGAGTTTATTTTTAGGCTTTTGGAGTAAGACATCACATATTTTTTCTTAATTTTAACTTCTTTTATGTGGGATATTCTGCCACCTTTGCTTTTTTTTTGGCCAATATTCTTCTCCTAATATTTTCTGCCTTCCTGCTTTTGTAAGCTCGTCTCTGATTTTATTTCTTTGAACCTTTCTCTTAACTGTCTTTTGGCATTTGGTGTCTGTGCCTTGTCTATTTTAACAAATTTTAGTCCAGTAACCAAACCCATAGGGCAGCGAAGCAGAAGGACTCTAGATCCAGGTGACCTGGCTCCAAGTCCTGGCTCGACCACTTACTAGTTGTGTGGCTTTGGGCAGGTTAATTCTCTTCTGTAGACTCATTGCTCTTGACAGTAAAGGGGGATAATCACAGTACCTATGTCGCAGAGCTCTTCTGAGGATTAAATGAAGCCATGTGTGTCTTAGAACAGTGCCTGACACCATGATTGTTCTGTTTAGGCTTCTATCTGTGATGTGGGGTTTATTGGTAAATGTTAGCTGTTAGGGAAAGTAAGATGGTGGGGGAGAATGGGCTTGGTAACAGTGATGGTGGTTGGTGGTGACTATTTCAACATGTTGCTGTTTCTGTAGTACTTCTGGTCCTTCTTGATATAAAGGAAAAAGAATCAGTGTATCCTGGACTGCTTTACGTTTTTTATTTTCTAATTGCTTTATTGAGATCTAGTTTGCATACCATACAATTTACCCATTTATAGTGTACTAGTGAATGTTTTTTGGTATATTATTAATTTTTAAGTCATGATAAAATATATATAAAATATAAAATTTGCCATTTTAACTATTTTAAAATGTACAATTTGGTGTCATTAATTACATTCACAAGGTTGTACAACCATCCCCTCTTTTTATGTTTTATCAGTTTTTTGAGACAGAGTCCTGCTCTGTTACCCAGGCTGGGGTGCAATGGCATATTCTTGGCTCACTGCAGCCTTGACCTTCTGGGCTCAATTGATTCTCCTGCCTCAGCCTCCCACGTAGCTGGGACCACAGGTGTGTGCCACCACACCCAGCTTTTTTTTTTTTTTTTTTTTTTGAGATAGAGTCTGACACTGTTGCCGGGACTGGAGTGCAATAGTGCAATCTCAGCTCACTGCAACCTCTGCCTCCTGGGTTCACATAATTCTCCTCTTGCCTCAGCCCCCCAAGTAGCTGGAATTACAGGCACACATCATCACAGCCAGCTAATTTTTTGTATTTTTAGTAGAGACGGGGTTTCACTATGTTGGCCAGACTGGTCTCGAACTCCTGACCTCGTGATCCGCCTGCCTCGGCCTCCCCAAGCGCTGGGATTATAGGCATGGGCCACCGCACCTGGCCATTTTTTTTTTTTGTAGACATGGGGTCTCAACTTTGTTGCCCAGGCTAGTTTTGAACTCCTGGGTTCAAGCAATCCACCTGCCTCGGACTCCCAAAGTGCTGGTATTATAGGCAAAAGCTACTGCGTCCAGCCTTCATCACCTCTATTTTAAAAACATTTTCATCACTCCAAACAGAAACTGTACCCACTCAACAATAACTCCCCATTCTCCTTCTCTTAGTCCCTGGTACCTTCTAATCTACTCTCTAACTCTATAAAGTTGCCTGTTCTAGAGATTTCATATAATTGGAATCACTATATTTATCCTTTTGTATCTGGCTTATTTCATTTAGCAGACTGTTTCCTAGGTTCATCCATGTTTTGGCATTATCAGAACTTCATCTTTATGTTTGAATAATCTTCCATTGTACTGATATATACCACATTTTACCCAATCATCCATAGATGGACATTTGGGCTGTCTTACCATTGTGAATAATGCTACAATTAACATTGGCATACAAGCATCTGTTCAGGTTCCTGCTTTCAATTCCACCCGGAAGTGGGATTGCTGGGTCGTACAGTAATTCTATTTTAGCTTTTTGAAGAACTGCCGAACTATTTTCTAGAGGACAGTTGCTTTTGGTCATTCTTTCCTCTTGTATTTCTCTCCCCTGGTGTCTGCCTCCCTCCGATTCTATTCCATTTCCTCCTGCTGCCTGAGCGTCATTGTACTTCCAAGCGGCAGACATGTTTGTGTCTACCCTCCCAACCATGCGTCTCCCTCCCACATTTCAGAGAGAACACCCACTTCCCTGTCCTTAGCAGCTGCCCAAGCATGTATCACCAACTCTGGCCGTACATCCGCCTGATCATTTCATCCCATTGTCCGGGGAGGGGGAGTCTTCGTAGAAGGTCATGCACGGGTCTCCGTCCCCTTTGGCTGGAGGGCTGGTTCGGCCACCGAATGACCCTAGGAGCTGTGAGTGGGGGGAAGTCAGGGATGTGGAGCCACAGCCCTGCAGGGTTTCAGCCTTCCTTAGACAGGCGGTCATCACACCCAACACCTTGCTTTGTTGTTCTCCGTCCACTGTGCATATTTTTAGGGGGCAGTTTGGCCACCCTGTTTCATGGGAGGGTTGTTCTCCACTTTTCATTTGCTTACAGTGTCTCCAGTTTCCTATGAGCAAGTGAATTAATTAATGAATACTCCAACAGACTGTAAGCCTGCCTCAGACAGCCATTCTGATTGTTGGGCTAATTGTTAGCTGGAGTTTCTGGATGTCATTCATTTCACAATAAGGCTCCTAATTAATCTCAGTGCAGTTCTCACCAGAAGAAAGGCTGATACGGAGAAACATCCCCAATTACCATGAGAAAGGAAATGTCAAGAGCCCCATTGAGTTTTCCTGGCACCCACCCTTGTCTCAGATGAAAACCGCCATTACCGCAAGGAAGCTGCCTAGACCGACCCTGAAAACTGGAGAGTGTGAGAGCAGGAGGAGCCCCCGACCACACAACCCCAGCTCGGGGAGGAACCTGCTCGTGGCTGCACCCTCTTTTTTAATAGCACCAATTATGTTTCCCAAAATGATGTAGAGAATCTCGGAGCTGTGTACTACATCGGAGGCAGAAATTCCTATGCTGTCCCAGGAGCAGCAGGGCAGTTTTTATCTGGAAAAGCTAAAGGTCTCCCTTTTGTGTGTGTTTCTGTGCCTGCAGGACAAAAGATCCTTCATCACCGAAGTGACGTTTTAGAAACAGTGGTCCTGATCAACCCTTCTGATGAAGCAGTCAGCACTGAGGTAAGCATTCAGCTCTGTAGAATCTGGGGCCGGGCCCCACACACTGGCTAGGGACCCAGTGGATTAGAAGGGCTGGGCAAATGGGGGCAGGAGAGGGTCACAACAGAGAGAAGTTCTGGGTTAAGAGGTCTTAACCCCCCACTAAGTGGTTGGTTCTCTGCATCGGTACCACCCAGCCTGCTCCTCCTGATAAGGACAAAGTGGAAGATAGTAACTGGAACTGTAAGATTTTGTCCAGGCAAGGGAGTATGAATTTGGGGTGTTTATGAGGGGGGTGGTGGGGAGTGCTGCTGGGATGGAGTCTGATAGGGATGTATTAGGGGAAATAGACACAAGCCCTCAGGCTGGGACATACAGGACAAGCCTGGAGAACAATGGCATCTCAAGAATGGCAACCCAGTGCAAGCCCCATCCAGAGCCTTCCTGCACACTCCTATCGCTGTGGAAAGGCAGGCTAGCATAGTGGTCAGAAGCATGGGCTGGCGCCAGGCCACCTGGATTCATAATCCCACATCTGCCTCTTACTAGCTGGGAGCCTCAAGCAAGCTATTTACTGTCTTTGTCTCAGTTTGCACCTCTGTAAAATGGAGGTCATAATAGTTTCTACATTTAATGTTCATATTTAATGTTGTGCTTAGAAGTACCAAGTGCTTAGAACAGAGCATGGCACATAATGACTGAAATGTAAATATTAGCTGTGATTGTTACTATTACCACCGTATGAAACTGTTGCTATGGAGAGTAACTGGGTATTTCGGAGCCCAGTGTGACATAAGAACTTGGTTGAAGCCAAGAGTCCCTGGTCACCCAGGCCAGAGGAGCTGCTGTCACTCCACTTTCCACTTCCTTTATTACAGTTGAGCACTTTTGAGATTGAGTTGCTTCTTGGACATTAAAGTAGCCAAAGTCCCTGGGAGCCTCCATTATTTGCAGTGTCCCTTCTACCCACACTTTGAGCATCTCTGTGACTGTATCCTGTTTTTGTAAGTGGAGATATAATTCAAGGACCATAAAATCTATCCCTTTAAAGTATGTAATTCGGTGGTCTTTAGTGTATTTACAAAGTTTTGCAACCATCACCCCTATCTAATTCCAGAACATGTCTTTCATGCCCCCAAAGCCCTGAGCTCATCGGCAGTCACTCTCCATTCTTCCCTAGTGCTGACAACCGCGAACCTGCCTGTCCTGATTTGCCAGTTCTGGATATTTCATATAAATATAATCATATACTATGTGGCCTTGTGTGTCTGGCTTATTTTAGCCTAACAATTTCAGGGTTCATCCATGTCGTAGCATGTGTCAGGACTGTATTCATTTTCGGGGCTGAACAGTGCCAGTGTATGGATAGCCCACATCTGTGCATCCATTCCTCAGTTGATGGACACTTGAGTTGCTGCCACTTTTTGACTGTCGTGATGTCACCTGTTCTGACTTACTTCTGCCTGCTTTAGATCAGCAGGACCTCTGACAATGCATGAAGGTGCAAAGCTGAGGAAAGTGATGGGATAGCAATCTCTGTTACTAACAGAGTCAGGAAGTAATTACAACTTGAAAAAAGCTGGAGAATTACAGCCTGTGCAACGTGGTGAAACTCCATCTCTACCAAAAATACAAAAAATTAGCCGGGCATGGTGTTGCATGCCCGTGGTCCCAGCTACTCAGGAGGCTGAGATGGGAGGATTGCTTGAACCCAGGAGGCGGAGATTGCAGTGAGCCGAGATAGCACCACTGCACTCCAGCCTGAGCAACAGAGTGGGACCCTGTCTCAAAAGGAAAAAAAAAAAAAAAAATAAGCTGGAGGATTAATATATGTCCAGGCAAACTGCCCGGAAGAGTTGTGAGAAAGGAAAAATATGGAATTTTATAAAAGGAATCCAGGCTTGCCTGTGGAGCAGATGGGGCTGAAACAATTACTTAGGTACATGTGTTTTTTCCATGATTAGACTGTGGGGTTCTTGGGTAAGGGGTCATGGTCTGTTTACTTTTGTATCCTCCCCTCAGTGCCTAACATGATGCCTGGCAAGTAGTATGTGCTGGACATTCATGAACTGGGCTCAGAATAGATACCTTGGTGCTTTGGAGTGGTGTTTGCTGAAGGACGTCTGGCTTCCTGCCACTTAAAAGTTCACAGAGTTCTTCAGTGCAAACCATTTGCAATTCTCTCAAAGACTGCTACATAGGGGCAGCCTTTTCTTTCTATTCAATGACAAGCACCTTACTGATGCCGTTGGAAACTGCACTTGGAGCTGTGTGCTTGCTGCACGCCTTGGAAGGGAAGAGATGCCGTATGGGAGGGGTTGGTTTGGGACCCTAGTTTGGAAGCCCGTGCTTCCTGAGGAGGCCACTGGGGAACCTGGACTATACATGGTGATTCAGCCTGTGAGATAGTTCCAAGTCTTCCCTGGTTTCGCAGACCACGTGCTGCTAGCAGACATTTCTAACAGCTGTGGAACGAATGATTACCAGCTGTGAAGGCTGCTTTGAAAAAGAGGAGGAAAGTAGGGGGAGAAAGTCAACTATTACTACTGTCTTGGTTGTAGAGAAACTTTGAAAATGGCATTCATGGGCAAACTGATAACTACACTTACTGGCTTTGTGGATGATCCTACAGCCAGGGATCCATTCAACCCTCCCGTGCTCTTCTGGCCTCCAGGAGAAATTAGACCTTTGGGGAATGAATGCTTTTTGCTGGTAATAAACTCCCATGGCCCCAAAGGCTAGCCCTGTCCTGGCGGTGGGACGGCAGCACTGCCCGCAGCTCAGGGCCTACGGTCTGTGCTTTATTGCAGGTGCGTTTAATGATCACTGATGCTGCCCGACACAAACTGCTCGTGCTGACCGGGCAGTGCTTTGAAAACACCGGAGAGCTCATTCTCCAGTCCGGCTCTTTCTCCTTCCAGAACTTCATAGAGATTTTCACCGACCAAGAGGTAGGTTCATGTCTGAGAATATCTGTGTTTCTAGTGGCTTGGTTGCCTTCGGTTCCTCTTTGAGAGCACTGGGGGAGACAGAAGAAGAAGGGAAGGGAAACTCACAGCTCTCCTGAAATAAGCAAAACTGTATGCTCTAAAATACTTTATTTTTGTGGCTCATTGCCAAAATAATTTAGAGCACTCATTTACAATTAATTGGAATAATTCTTAATGTGCCTGAGATATAGATGGGAAGGATTGGAACAGTCAACACTTTACAGATGGTCAAAATGATGGAGAAACTTGAAATGTCAGAGCCCAAAAGAAAACCTACGTTTCCTGTTTTCTGAAATAATACTCCAAAGATATCCTGGGCTTTTGGCACCGCCTTTTCCAGGCCTAATTATTTCAGATTTTTCTTACTTTAATGCCTGGTCCCAATGTTTGAACTTGGGCTGTTTGAACAGCCCACAAAAGAGAGAGGGCTCTACAAAAGGAGGCACGTAGGAAAATGGGGCACGTCTGTGACCCAAAAAAAACATGGCTAAAGTAGCTGGACTGAAGCTGGGTCATTCGTATTTCTAATGCGTCTCTTATTCAAAGATGATGCATGTGAAGTGTTGAAAACTGTGTGAAGTTAGCAGTATTTGGTCAAATGAGATCAAAGATTTTGATGTGCTTATTTCTGCTTGGGAATTTATCCTGGCCCGGAAACTTTCCAAAGTAATGCACCTTGTTTATCTAGGTTATATATTTATAGCAGTTACAGAAACAATTCAGACCAATCCCCATAGTAGGTTGGGGCCTGCATGTGGCCGATAGCAGATTTCTACATGGAGGGACTGAGGGATGTTCTGATAAGAAGAGTTACCAAGTCTGTTTAAAACTGTCTTCCTGAGATGGCAGCTTGTCCATCTCATGTGTACTGTGAAGGGCCACGTGTCCTTCTGCACTTAATCTTCCTTGGCCCTGTGGTTCAGAGAGAGCTCTGTTTGTCCTTTTCATCACTGGCAAGAACTGTAAGCACACTGCCCAACTTCATCTGGGTCACCTGGAAGCTTCTTTAAAAACACTGATCAGATGGCATAATACTGTTCACTCTCCAGCCACTGGGGAGGGGAGAATGCAAAACTGTGAAAAGGAACATTTTTGAAGCCCCAGCTTTCAGAAGGTGTGGCGTCATCTGCATCTTGAAACACACGCCAGGACGGGATCCCCCAGGCAGGCAGCTCCTTTCTGAGAGGCTTCAGAGCTCACTCCCAGTTGGTTCATCTTTACCACTTCAAAATGCAAGCTTTGGCCCTGTCTTCCTCCAAGGCCACTAGAGTTCATGCGTCTTGCCTCATTCGTCTCGGTATCCATTGCACCTGCACGTAGTAAAGGCCTAGTAAGCCACTGTTCGATTGCATTGAAATTCCAAAGCTAGGGCTACAATTCTCACTCTGCCTACTGTCCTGAAGTTGTTGTTTGATCACTATAATGTCAGAATCTTTTGCAAGATTATGTCCCCATGTGCATGTTGTACCCAGAGGCAGGTAGGTGGGCATTTGTCTAGTAGCTGTGGGATCACACACATTATTAGCATCTTGCCTCAGGGAAGAGAGAAAGCTGCAGAAGGCTGGAAGGGGCCCAATGACATGGTGAGCAGTTAAGTGGCCTGCTTGTAGCTCATTTGCATGCACATGGGCACTTTCCACATTCCTGTGCAGTTCTGTAGTTATTTTCTAGTGGTTGGTTTCTACCCAAGTGATTGGTTTGTCTTTTTTTTGCTGAAAAACCAAGCAAAGGAAATATGTAAAGAAAAGTGTTTGCCATTGCCAAGATTTTCAATAAGGAAGTAACACAATTTGGCATATTTGCATCTCAGATAATATCTCCCCTTCCCCTTCTTTAAATAAGGTTGTTATGAAGATTGCTGCTTATTCATTTTTACTAGATTATGGAAGCAAAATTTTAGCACCATGGGCTGTGCATGTGTCAGATTTTGCCACTAACTACAGAAAAAGAAAATTGCCCTAACTGAAGAACTCAAGTTCCGTGGAAGGGCGGATTCCCCAGGGTTTGTAATTATTGGGGTAGGTTCTGGAGGACACACATTTTGATTATACTCAGGTATCATGTCATGTTCTCTTCCGCCACCCACAAACCCCCATGCTGGTACTTTTGAAAAAGCAATAGTTAATACATATTGAAAAGGATCTCTAGGATTTTTCCTAACAGACTAGATCAATGGTGTCAGTGTGGTGGGGGAAGGCAAGGGACATTGGGTCAAATTCACTCTTCCTCCTCCCCCAACCAAAGCAACTCAGCCTTTATCTATTTTACATTGTGGACTTTGAAGAAAGGATGCCACAGCTAAAGTGAATTGAAAATCACTGGACTGGACCAGTGGTTATCAGCCTTTTGGGGCTAGGATTGCCCATTGTTGCCTTGGAAAAAGGGTTGAGTAAGTGAATGACAAACAGACCTTGAAGACCACTTGGTGTCCAGCCCTGTTCCTTTTATCCAGTCCTTGAAACATACTAGTTAACTCCAGGGAACCAAAACCACAATTTGGGACAAGCAAAAATGATACTTTTTAAAAAATATAAGAACAGCTAAAAATAAATAGACTGAAAAAATAGAACTATCAGTACACTTTGAGCTTCAGGGTTTTGGAGTCTTAATCACCGGAGATCAACTAACAAAACCAGAACTAACAGACAGTGCTATTGTCTGGCTGACCCCACTCCTCCCTGAAATCCAGGGATGGTGAAATCATCATCTCCTGGGGGCATTTTTCAGTCTCTGTGTTGGAAAGTTTTTCCTTATTTGTCTCATTGTCTCTTCAAGGAAGTGATGTGATCCCTTTCCCACCTACAGTGTCTTAGATACCCTTCACCAACACTGCCAATTTTTTCCCTTTTAGATTAATCATCTTCAATTTTTACCCACAGTTCTTCAAAACCCTGCTCGCTGTCCTTCAAACTTGTTCCTCTGTCAAGAAAGGGAGGCGAAGGCCAGGTGCTGTGGCCCATGCCTGTAATCCCAGTACTTTGGGAGGCCAAAGTGGGAGGATCACGCAAGGCCAGGAGTTCTAGGCTGCACTGAGCTATAATCTGCACTGCACTCCAGCCTGGGCAACAGAGCAAGATTCTGTCTCTTAAAAAAATAAAAAACCCAAGTATACTTAAAACATTAAAAAAATAAAAAGAAGAGGAGATGGGAGGGGTATGGGGGGAATTCAGGAGTTTAGTCCTGGTCATGTTTTAGTGCCTTGAAATCAGACAGTTGGATTTATGAGAACAGAGCTCAGGGAACTCAGAGTTGGGCTGGAGATATTAATTTGGAATCTATTAGCATATTAGAGGTATTTAAAGCCCAGAAGATAGATGATGTGACCTCGAGTGAGAAATATTTTAAGAAGAGAAAGGGGCCCAGGTCCAGTGTTGAGAGGTCATGAGGCCAAGAGGAAGGAGCCAGTAAGGGAGACTTATTTCAGGTTTTTGCTTGTTGGTCTAATTTCTCTAAAATGTCATGACTCAGACTGGACACCCTATTTCAGGAGTCATTTGACCAGGTTAGGATTGTGAGAGTCGATAATGTCTATAGTTTTCAGTACAATCTTCTATTAAAGAAGTCTAAAAGTGACTTTTGACCATCACCATACACCATTAAATTTCAATGGGGAAGAGATGCAGGCTTTGAGGGGCTCTACAATTTATATAATTTAAGGGCTCTTTTTTAAGAAAAATGAAACAATTATTAATACACAATTAAGTACAGGGCCATGCCAATGAGGTACCTTGAAGTTTAAGCTTCTATGGCTTCATGATAAATCCATTTGACCATCAACTAAAATCCCTGAGTCTTTTCCATGGATATTATTGTTAAGCCACATCTCCCAATCCTGTAGTTAACCCTGCTGGTTTATTGAACCTTACATTTATCCCTTTAAAATGCCATCCTGTTAGAGTTGACTTAGCCACCATCATCCCCATGTCAAGAGCTTTTATAAATACCTTAATTCTGCCATCCCACATTTTGCTGTCTCTCATTTTCATACAATCCACAGATATATGCATGACTTCACCATTTTCATCCAAGTGAATACAGGCCAGGTAATGAGACTTGAGGCCGCCCATCATAGACCTCCCTCCAGGCTGACATTAAGCAGCACTAGTTATATGGCTGGCTGGAAATCCACCTAATTCTGCTATCACACTGTTCAGGGATCCTATTAAATGTCTTGCTAAAGCCCAGAGATACACTGTCTACTGTATTTCCTCATCAGCCAAGCAAGTAACCTAATCAGAAAGGAAATGTAGTTAGCAGGCCATGGTTTAGAATTTCAAATCTTGTTTCATTAATATCATCTGCAGTAAAACCATTTATTTATTATATCTTCCTTCCTCTTCCAGTATGCCTGCATTTAATCAGAAAAAGTAATTCACAAAAAAGATTATCTTTGTCCCAAAGCATATTCCTCCCAGTTGCATCTGTCATCCAACTTTGCAAGAACCAGGGTGGCGCTCAGTGTGGTTACATCTGAAGCACCCACTCCAGGAAGACAACATGTGTTGAACAGCCAAGTTTGGCACTCTGATCAACAAACATCTCCTGAGCCTGATTATGTATTGAGGAAACAAAGATAACTAAAATACAAAGATACAGAAGATATATTTCCTGCTATCAGATATGTTTAGAGTAGTGGGTTATAATAGGTACCTTTTACCATGATGATGATTTCCCAATTTGTTCAGAAGAAGCCTCAGTTTCCAAGTCTAAGAACTAGTCACAAGTTTCCTTCCCACTCTTAACATTGTTGGATCCTCCTTATGGTTCTCATCTATTCATTGAATAAGCTTGATTGGGTGCTGCCTTGGGCTGGCCACTCTTAAGACCCTGTCTTTGCCCTTGAGGTACTCTCTACTCTGGAGTTGGCCCACAGGTCTGGAAAGAGGCTGTGGGGGAAAACACAGGCTTCATTCTGTTGTGTAGTTCCAAGGATGTAGGAGTTGTTCTTCCTCCTCTTCCCTCTGCCCAATTCCATCTGTCTGTTTTATGACTGAGGGCTCTGTCCAGCCCTGTCTCTGCGTTCTTGTCTCATCATTCAGAGTGTGCTGCTATTTCTTTGGAGGGACCAGATTTTCCATCTCCAGAAAGAAACCTGTCAAAGCAATGCTGGCTTTCTTTTCTGCTTTGCCTTGTACATCATGGTTGTTCATTCACCAGTGTCTCTTGGCTGTCTTTCATGACCTCTGACTTCTCAGAATTCTGTGCAATCTTGTTTTGTTTTGGGGTCATTTCCTGCATTTCATAAAAATTCCCTGGATAGAGGCGAAAAGAGGAAAAGTAGGAAGATATTCCTTAAGTCTTTCTACCTTCTGCTTCAACCTGGTGATTACATACTTTACATAAAAAGAGCTAGTGATTGAATGCCCCCTACTAACAGCTGGATTATACCCTTGGCTGCCACACCTCTCAGCTAGGGTAGAATTTCAAAAATTAAAATGAACTAAACTTAATTTTTAAATTTCACTATTAAAGATTCAGCAGTTATCCTAGATTTGCCTCCTAAAATGTATCATAAAACATGAAGAGTTTGTAAGTGCTCTGTGTGAAAATTGGGATCTAGAGACTTTTAATTGTGCTACAATGATTGTGATGAGGGTCTCTGCTAGTTATTGTACAAGAAGCCATATTCGATGCCCTATGTTTGCGTTGGCCTGCAAATCATTGGAGCAAAGATGCCTGTCCCCTCCACCCAAAGATGGTTACCATTTGCTTTTTCACTTTTCTTAGCTCCCAAAATGGAGTTGATTCTTATCCTTTTTATAGAAAATTGTGAAGTGAAGTCACAGAAAAACAACAAAGTTTTATTATTTTGTTATTTTGCGACCCTCTACATAAAATGTTATGCTTAGGACTAATATGCTAACAAAACAGAAATGACTGTTTTACTGCAACATTGCAGTCAAATACAGGAAAATTCAGATTCTATAAATTATTCTTACAAACATTCATAATAGTAGCCTCAGAATGCTGATAGCCAGGAGACAGAGGAAACTAATCTAATACTAGAAAGTTAGAGTTCAGACCTGCTGGCTCAGGGATGCCTGGACCAAATGAAACCTTGGCTTTAACACTTGATCATTTGTCATCCAGAACACAGAGCCCTTTTCAGTCAAAACTCTGAGCTGATTTGTGAGCTTTACTGAGATGGAAAGAAGATTGGAGTTGATGGCATGATTCTCCATCACTAATTTGCTAGGCTAAGACCATGAAATACGTGGCCATAATATGGAGTGAGAGAGAAAGTAGTGTTTTTATTAAACCATAATTTCTGTTTTGGTCCTGATTTGCTTTTCTGTGTTTACATCCTTGGGAAGTACTAAACAATGTGTTGAAAAATGTTTCAGCCACATTTGATCTCAGCTGCTCACACCCAACTTGCCCTGAAAAGAATGGGAGCAGTAAGAGAACAGAGTGGCTCACTGTGGAGTTAAGTATGAGCAAATGGGGAACAGATTTGGCCACTGGCTTTTATAATTATCCAGCCACTTTAATGTCATGGCTTTAATAAAAAAGTATTTGTATCTGCAGAGAATCTTCTGGGTGACCCCTTCATGTTTTAATCAGTGTGCACTGATACCAGAAACCAGTAATTTTTTGTAGTAACAGGCAATCCATAACTTCTTGTCTCCTATGGGGAAAAACCCACCAAGGTTTTTTCCTTTTTACATACAGATTCTAAAAGGAGGCCGCAACAAGTGCCCTGTTAATCTGAATTTCTTTGAGGTGTCAATCAGGCCTTTTTTTTTTTTTTCGCCAAGTCTAGTGGAATAAAAGAAAATATTTTTATTAGTGATGAAATGACTCGGACAGCTTTCTCTTGATATAGTTTAATGTTTTTTAAAGGGCATCTTTGCCTTTACTCTAGGGATAATATTCAAAGTGTTTCATAACCACTGCAGCACAATCCCCAATTGCTCAGGTGGTCACTGGTCTTAGAACTGGAGCAGATTTCTGGCATTCCCCTGCTGGGCAGGAATAGATGGTGGAGGGGTTGTCGGGGAGGTGCCGGGGTGAGTGGGTGCTGGTTGAGGTAGAAGCCAGTAGTATCGGGGCTCAGGACAAAGGGCTGTTCACCTTCTAGTAGGGAAGTGTTTCAGCATTTAAGCAACCAGCATCGCTACATGAGTGCATGTCTGAAACTGGTCCTATGTGCATCCTGTGATCCTATAACACATAGTTATAGCTGGAGATGATGGATTAGTGATGATAATCACTTACACCTTTTCTTTCTTTCTTTCTTTTTTTAAAACCCAGATCGGGGAGTTACTAAGCACCACCCATCCTGCTAACAAAGCCAGCTTAACCCTGTTCTGTCCTGAAGAAGGGGACTGGAAGAACTCCAATCTTGACAGACACAATCTCCAAGACTTCATCAATATTAAACTCAATTCAGCTTCTATCTTGCCAGAAATGGAAGGACTTTCTGAGTTTACTGAGTATCTCTCAGAATCAGTGGAAGTCCCATCTCCCTTTGACATCCTGGAACCTCCCACATCGGGTGGATTTCTGAAGCTCTCCAAGCCCTGCTGTTATATTTTTCCAGGAGGGAGGGGAGATTCTGCCTTGTTTGCAGTGAATGGTTTCAATATGCTCATCAATGGCGGATCGGAGAGAAAATCCTGCTTCTGGAAGCTCATCCGACACTTAGACCGAGTGGACTCCATCCTGCTCACCCACATTGGGGATGACAATTTGCCTGGAATAAACAGCATGCTACAGCGGAAAATTGCAGAGCTCGAGGAAGAACAGTCCCAGGGCTCCACCACAAATAGTGACTGGATGAAAAATCTCATCTCCCCTGACTTAGGAGTTGTATTTCTCAATGTACCTGAAAATCTCAAAAATCCAGAGCCAAACATCAAGATGAAGAGAAGCATAGAAGAAGCATGCTTCACTCTCCAGTACCTAAACAAATTGTCCATGAGACCAGAACCTCTGTTTAGAAGTGTAGGCAATACTATTGATCCTGTCATTCTTTTCCAAAAAATGGGAGTGGGTAAACTTGAGATGTATGTGCTTAATCCAGTCAAGAGCAGCAAGGAAATGCAGTATTTTATGCAGCAGTGGACTGGCACCAACAAAGACAAGGCTGAACTCATTCTGCCTAATGGTCAAGAAGTAGATCTCCCGATTTCCTACTTAACTTCAGTCTCATCTTTGATTGTATGGCATCCAGCAAACCCTGCAGAAAAAATCATCCGAGTCCTGTTTCCTGGGAACAGCACCCAATACAACATCCTGGAAGGGTTGGAAAAACTCAAACATCTAGACTTTCTGAAGCAGCCACTGGCCACCCAAAAGGATCTCACTGGCCAGGTGCCCACTCCTGTGGTGAAACAAACAAAACTGAAACAGAGGGCTGATAGCCGAGAAAGTCTGAAGCCAGCCACAAAACCACTTCCTAGCAAATCCGTGCGCAAGGAGTCAAAAGAAGAAACCCCTGAGGTCACAAAAGTGAATCACGTGGAAAAGCCACCCAAAGTTGAAAGCAAAGAAAAGGTAACAGTGAAAAAAGACAAGCCAGTAAAAACAGAGACCAAACCTTCAGTGACTGAAAAGGAGGTTCCCAGCAAAGAAGAGCCATCTCCAGTGAAGGCCGAGGTGGCTGAGAAGCAAGCCACAGATGTCAAACCCAAAGCCGCCAAGGAGAAGACGGTGAAAAAAGAAACAAAGGCAAAGCCTGAAGACAAGAAAGAGGAGAAGGAAAAGCCAAAGAAAGAAGTGGCTAAAAAGGAGGACAAAACACCTATCAAGAAGGAGGAAAAACCAAAAAAGGAAGAGGTGAAAAAAGAAGTCAAAAAAGAAATCAAGAAAGAAGAGAAAAAAGAACCCAAGAAAGAGGTTAAGAAAGAAACACCGCTGAAGGAAGCCAAGAAGGAAGTTAAGAAGGAAGAGAAGAAGGAAGTGAAAAAGGAAGAAAAGGAACCCAAAAAAGAAATTAAGAAGCTCCCTAAAGATGCAAAGAAATCATCTACTCCTCTACCTGAAGCAAAAAAACCAGCTGCTTTAAAACCAAAAGTACCCAAGAAGGAAGAGCCTGTCAAGAAAGATTCTGTTGCCGCCGGGAAGCCAAAGGAGAAGGGGAAAATAAAAGTCATTAAGAAGGAAGGCAAGGCCACAGAGGCTGTCGCTGCAGCTGTCGGCACTGGAGCTGCCACAGCAGCCGTGGTGGCGGCAGCTGGAATAGCGGCCACTGGCCCTGCCAAAGAACTTGAAGCTGAGAGGTCCCTTATGTCATCTCCTGAGGATCTAACCAAGGACTTTGAAGAGTTAAAGGCTGAAGAGGTCGATGTAACAAAGGACATCAAGCCTCAGCTGGAGCTAATCGAAGATGAAGAGAAACTGAAGGAAACCGAACCAGTCGAAGCCTACGTCATCCAGAAGGAGACAGAAGTCACCAAAGGTCCTGCCGAGTCCCCTGATGAGGGAATCACCACCACTGAAGGGGAAGGCGAATGTGAACAGACACCTGAGGAGCTGGAGCCCGTCGAGAAGCAGGGAGTAGACGACATTGAAAAATTTGAAGACGAAGGAGCGGGTTTTGAAGAATCCTCAGAGACTGGAGACTATGAAGAGAAGGCAGAAACTGAGGAGGCTGAGGAGCCAGAGGAGGATGGGGAGGAACACATATGTGTGAGCGCCTCTAAGCACAGCCCCACTGAGTATGAGGAAAGTGCCAAGGCGGAGGCTGATGCATACATCAGGGAGAAGAGGGAGTCTGTGGCCAGTGGGGATGACCGAGCCGAAGAAGACATGGATGAGGCCATTGAGAAAGGAGAGGCTGAACAATCTGAGGAGGAGGCTGATGAGGAGGACAAAGCTGAAGATGCCAGAGAGGAGGAATATGAGCCGGAAAAAATGGAAGCTGAAGACTATGTGATGGCTGTGGTCGACAAGGCTGCAGAGGCTGGTGGTGCCGAGGAGCAGTATGGATTCCTCACCACACCAACCAAGCAACCAGGAGCCCAGTCTCCTGGCCGAGAACCTGCATCTTCAATTCATGATGAGACTTTACCTGGAGGTTCAGAGAGCGAGGCCACAGCTTCTGATGAGGAGAATCGAGAAGACCAGCCTGAGGAATTCACTGCCACCTCTGGCTACACTCAGTCTACTATTGAGATATCCAGTGAGCCTACCCCCATGGATGAGATGTCTACCCCTCGAGATGTGATGAGCGATGAGACCAACAATGAAGAGACGGAGTCCCCTTCTCAGGAATTCGTAAATATCACCAAATACGAGTCTTCATTGTATTCTCAGGAATACTCTAAACCTGCTGATGTTACACCACTCAACGGATTTTCTGAAGGATCAAAAACAGATGCCACTGATGGCAAGGATTACAATGCTTCAGCCTCTACCATATCACCACCCTCTTCCATGGAGGAAGACAAATTCAGCAGATCTGCTCTACGTGATGCTTACTGCTCTGAAGTGAAAGCCAGCACCACGTTGGACATCAAAGATACCATCTCAGCTGTTTCAGGTGAAAGGCTCAGCCCATCAAAGAGCCCATCCCTGAGTCCATCTCCACCATCACCCTTAGAAAAGACCCCCCTGGGTGAACGTAGTGTGAACTTCTCTCTGACGCCCAATGAGATTAAAGTCTCTGCAGAGGCAGAAGTAGCCCCGGTGTCTCCTGAGGTAACCCAAGAAGTAGTTGAAGAACATTGTGCTAGTCCTGAGGACAAGACTCTGGAAGTGGTGTCACCATCTCAGTCTGTGACTGGCAGTGCTGGTCACACACCTTACTACCAATCTCCCACCGATGAGAAATCCAGTCACCTCCCTACAGAAGTAATCGAGAAACCACCAACAGTTCCAGTGAGTTTTGAATTCAGTGATGCCAAAGATGACAGTGAAAGAGCTTCAGTAAGCCCCATGGATGAGCCCGTGCCTGACTCAGAGTCTCCTATTGAAAAAGTTTTGTCTCCTTTACGCAGCCCGCCCCTCATTGGATCCGAGTCTGCCTATGAAAGTTTTCTAAGTGCTGATGACAAGGCTTCTGGCAGAGGTGCCGAAAGCCCCTTTGAAGAAAAGAGTGAAAAACAAAGCTCTCCAGACCAAGTAAGTCCAGTTTCTGAAATGACTTCCACTAGTCTTTACCAAGACAAACAGGAAGGGAAAAGCACAGACTTTGTACCAATAAAAGAAGACTTTGGCCAAGAAAAGAAAACTGATGATGTTGAAGCCACGAGTTCTCAACCAGCACTGGCTCTGGATGAAAGGAAATTAGGAGATGTTTCTCCCACACAAATAGATGTCAGTCAGTTTGGATCTTTTAAAGAAGACACTAAGATGTCCATTTCTGAAGGTACTGTCTCAGACAAGTCAGCTACTCCTGTTGATGAGGGTGTAGCGGAAGACACATACTCTCATATGGAGGGTGTGGCCTCAGTGTCCACAGCCTCAGTGGCTACGAGCTCATTTCCAGAGCCAACAACAGATGATGTGTCTCCTTCTCTGCATGCTGAGGTTGGCTCCCCACATTCCACAGAAGTAGATGACTCCCTTTCAGTGTCTGTTGTGCAAACACCTACCACATTCCAGGAAACAGAAATGTCTCCATCTAAAGAAGAATGCCCAAGACCGATGTCAATTTCCCCACCAGACTTCTCCCCTAAAACTGCAAAGTCCAGGACACCCGTTCAAGATCACAGATCTGAACAGTCCTCAATGTCTATTGAATTTGGCCAAGAATCTCCTGAGCACTCCCTTGCTATGGACTTCAGTCGACAGTCTCCAGATCATCCTACAGTGGGTGCAGGTGTGCTTCACATCACTGAAAATGGGCCAACTGAAGTGGACTACAGTCCTTCTGACATGCAGGACTCCAGTTTATCACATAAGATACCACCTATGGAGGAGCCGTCCTATACCCAAGATAATGATCTTTCTGAGCTCATCTCAGTATCTCAGGTAGAGGCCTCCCCATCCACCTCTTCTGCTCATACCCCTTCTCAGATCGCTTCTCCTCTCCAAGAAGATACTCTATCTGATGTTGCTCCTCCAAGAGATATGTCCTTATATGCCTCACTCACCTCTGAAAAAGTGCAAAGTCTGGAAGGAGAGAAGCTTTCTCCAAAATCTGATATCTCTCCACTCACCCCACGAGAGTCCTCTCCTTTATATTCACCTACTTTTTCAGATTCTACCTCTGCAGTCAAAGAGAAAACAGCAGCTTGCCACACTTCCTCTTCTCCACCCATAGATGCGGCATCCGCAGAGCCCTATGGCTTCCGTGCCTCAGTGTTATTTGATACCATGCAACACCATCTAGCCTTGAATAGAGATTTGGCCACACCTGGCCTGGAGAAGGACAGTGGAGGGAAGACACCTGGTGACTTTAGCTATGCCTATCAAAAGCCTGAGAAAACAACTAGGTCCCCAGATGAAGAAGATTATGACTACGAGTCTTATGAGAAGACCACCCGGACCTCAGATGTGGGCGGCTATTACTATGAGAAGATAGAGAGAACCACAAAATCCCCAAGTGACAGTGGCTACTCCTATGAGACCATTGGGAAAACCACCAAGACCCCTGAAGATGGTGACTATTCCTATGAAATTATTGAGAAGACCACACGGACCCCTGAAGAGGGTGGGTACTCATATGACATAAGTGAAAAGACCACCAGCCCCCCTGAAGTGAGTGGTTACAGCTATGAAAAGACTGAGAGGTCTAGAAGGCTTCTGGATGACATCAGCAATGGCTATGATGACTCTGAGGATGGTGGCCACACACTTGGGGACCCCAGCTACTCTTACGAGACCACTGAGAAAATTACCAGTTTCCCTGAGTCTGAAAGTTACTCCTATGAGACAGCTACAAAGACGACACGAACCCCCGATACTTCCACATACTGTTACGAGACTACAGAGAAAATCACTAGAACCCCTCAGGCATCCACATATTCCTACGAGACTTCAGACCTATGCTACACTGCAGAAAAGAAGTCCCCCTCAGAAGCCCGCCAGGATGTCGATTTATGCCTCGTGTCCTCCTGTGAATACAAGCACCCCAAGACAGAGCTTTCACCCTCCTTCATTAATCCCAATCCTCTTGAGTGGTTTGCCAGTGAAGAGCCCACTGAAGAATCTGAAAAGCCCCTCACTCAATCAGGGGGAGCCCCACCGCCTCCAGGAGGAAAGCAACAGGGCCGACAGTGTGATGAAACCCCTCCCACCTCAGTCAGCGAGTCGGCCCCATCCCAGACCGACTCTGATGTTCCCCCGGAGACTGAAGAGTGCCCCTCCATCACGGCTGATGCCAATATCGACTCTGAAGACGAGTCGGAAACCATCCCTACAGATAAAACTGTCACGTACAAACACATGGACCCACCTCCAGCTCCCGTGCAAGACCGCAGCCCTTCGCCACGCCATCCTGATGTGTCCATGGTGGACCCAGAGGCCTTGGCCCTTGAGCAGAACCTGGGAAAAGCTCTAAAGAAAGATCTGAAAGAGAAGACCAAAACCAAAAAGCCAGGTACAAAGACCAAGTCATCTTCACCTGTCAAAAAGAGTGATGGGAAGTCTAAGCCCTTGGCAGCTTCACCAAAACCAGCAGGCTTGAAAGAATCCTCAGATAAGGTGTCCAGGGTGGCTTCTCCTAAGAAGAAAGAATCTGTGGAAAAGGCAGCAAAACCCACCACCACTCCTGAGGTCAAAGCTGCACGTGGGGAAGAGAAGGACAAGGAGACCAAGAATGCTGCCAATGCCTCTGCATCCAAGTCGGCCAAGACCGCCACTGCAGGTAGGTTGAGAAGGCCGGGCATTGGATATATGCCACAACCATTCTACTTAATTTACAACCTTTATATTTCCCTGTTTGGCTTTGTACTGGGAAGACGAGGGAGCACAATTGATGCTTTACCTTCCCTGTACTCTTCTCCTCTGCCCAAAGGTATATGTCTCAGTCCAGTGTGGCCTTAAGGCTTGGAAATAGCTCAGTGTATGGTTCAAAGCAGCTGTGATTCATCACATGGGATTCCTGATTTTGTGCTATTTTGGAACACAGCAACTACAACCCTGTTCTAAATCTTCAGAACCAAGGATGTGTCTTTCAGATGTTTCTGGAAGACTGGTTTCAGCCATGCTGGCCCCAGAATCCAGCAGGGTAACACAGACCAGGAGCTCCTAAAGGCCTAAGGAGAACCAGAGGTTTCACACCAAGACTGGATCGACCAGTCTAGACTGAAGATTTAGAGTCCTTTTTTAAAAAAAATTAAATTTTAAAATTAAAAATTTTTACATTTTTATTTAAAACATAACCAGGTTGGAGATAAATCTTCATTAAAGGCAGTGTTCCATTTTCATGTCAGCCAAAAAGTACTATAATTTCAGGTGACCAGTGAGTATCCAGGGAAAATTAAGAGAAAAACATTGATGACTCTTTTCTTACTCTTCTCTTACCCATGGCCTCATTAGTAGAGACTCAATGCTATTTCAGATTAAAATTCCACTTGGAAGCTGGGTGCATGGCCTCATGCCTGTAATTTCAGAACTTTGGGAGGCTGAGGTAGGAGGTTAGCTTCAGCCCAGGAGGTTGAGACCAGCCTATGCAACATAGCAAGACCCTATCTCCACAAAAAAATGTTTTTAATTAGTTGGGTGTGGTGGCATATGCTTGTAGTCTTAGCTACTTGGGAGGCTGAGGCAGGAGGATCACTTTAGCCCAAGAAGTCAAGGCTGCAGTGAGCCAGAATTGTATGTATCACTGCACTCCAAGCCTAGGCGACAGAGCAAGACCCTGTCTCTCAAAAATAAATAAGCAAATGAAATTCCACTTGGCAGGAGCAGATATCCCTGATTTTTGATCATTCATGTTTTGGTCATGATTCCCAGATTTATCATGTTCTCGGTAATGACCTGGGCTTTTGATGGAACTGGTCTCTGCAGTACTGCTTCATTTTATTGCTTCACATCAATCACAAGGATTGGCATTCATACATTTTATTTGCTTTAGGTAATTATTCAGAGATTTTAGATCACAATTCACAAAGTGTAATATAAATGGACCCAAACATGTAAGGCACAACATAATTTAAGTAACATTGCCCTGATTTATTAGGGAAAATCTGATAGAGTAATCTTTGCAGCTCTCCAATTAAGTACACTTTAGGATTTAGATTTGTTAAAACTACAAGTTTTTACTTTAAACAATATGGAGTATCAATTTTAAGACTCAGTTCTCAGCACATTTGGCCTTTTTACATGCATGTAGAAAATAATCGGAATTTTTTTCATGTTTAAAATGAATGACAAACCACCAGATAATTAACCCTTTCATCTGAAAGAGTTGACAACTGACCTGCACTTAGGGAGAAAACATGAAATCCATTTAAACAGATAAAACCAACTGAAATTTACTCCCAAGTTTGCCAGAACATATACATCCTAGCCCACACAATTGACTTTTTAAAAAAACTTTTTGGACATTTAAAGAGGTAATTTAAAGGCAAAGTAATAAGTGAAAATGAGTTAATTTTCATTTATTTTGGAGATGCTTTTAGATGTCTACAAAGGCAAAGTTGCAGTACTAATTGACTTTTAAAGCAAACCTGGGCCAACTTTCAGCAGTTCTGTTGGTTTGTGCTTCTGTGAGCAATATTCATTTGATGTTGATGGTTGTGATTTAGAGTAGAGGGGGAAATTGCAGACATGTTTAATTATTGGAAGAACTGTAACTCACAAACTTCTACTACAAGTCAGAATTCTTTAGGAGGCCCCCACTGGGTATTTTGAGGGCTTTCAGCTCAGATTCATTAAAATAACCTATTGATCTATTCATAGAATGAATTAGCTTATCCAATTATTACTTTGGCTGATTCTCACCACTCCCTTAGCCCTCTAAAAATAAAACTGGACAGTTGATAGAATTAGCTGGTGGTTTTGAATCTGGGATGATAGTCTTTAAATATCCTATGGAGAAAGAGGATTAAGCATATAAAATCTAGCTGGTGTTTTAATTGGCTTTACAGCAATGAAACCAGCTGCATGTTAGAATCACCTGGGGTGCTTTTAAAAGACAGTAGTGCCAGACCCCAACCCAAACCTACTTAAGTCAGACTCTAGAGAATGAGGCCTGGGTGTCAGTATTAAGCATCCGAGGTGATTCTAATTCTGTAGTCAGGCTAAAGAACCACTGCCTCAAAATGCTAGTTCTATTAATGTTTCAAAAGCTTTAAACTTCCTAACTGGAAAACAAGTTAGTTTTCCTAGGCCTTTGTGATTTGACTGGGGTTTTGGTTGCAGGCTGATATGTCCTGATTAGTTAGAGAAAGCCTAGTCTTTCTGAACCGTCTTTTGCCCAAGTTCAGCATCCAGCCTTGTCTAGGGAAAGAAGCATCAGTTTTCAGAATACTGTGCTAAGGAGAGAATATGGTGTTTCATCAGTTTGTGAGCGAGACTGAGGTGCTGAGGGCCTTGGAAATCATATGGGGTTAAGATCAAAACTATTTACTAAGTGGAACGTTAGGGTATAATACCCAGCTGTGGACAAAATTGCAATCATGAGACGCTGAAGTGGATTACTAAGATAACTTAGCTATGTTTTGCCAAATACAGATGTTTTCTTTTGACTTTTAAAATGTACTTCTTAGATCACTTATCAAATAAAGAAGCACATTAGCAGCTTCTTTAGGAGGGGTATTATATCTAGTGCCATCTTGGGAAAGGCCTTCAAACTCTTCTTGCTTCCTAATGTTGGCTGTCCACAAAGGGAAACCATCCCATTCTTCACTTCTCCTATTGAGATGGTAAACAACCATGTTATGTTTTGTCACATTGCTAGCGCAAATGCCCTTGACAGATTCCCAGGGAGATGGAAATGCTGTCACCACTTTGCATGTCCCAGAGGACCTGCTTGTGATTGAGTAGGGAAGGTGTGGTTGAGTAGGGAACATGTGCTGGATGTATGGTCTCTTCACCTTGCTATGACCTTGCTTTGTCTTTGTTTATTTACCCAAGGACCAGGAACCACCAAGGCAACCAAGTCCTCCACTGTGCCCCCAGGCCTCCCTGTGTATTTGGACCTGTGCTACATACCTAACCACAGCAATAGTAAGAATGTTGATGTGGAATTTTTCAAGAGAGTACGGTCTTCCTACTACGTGGTGAGTGGGAATGACCCTGCTGCTGAGGAGCCCAGCCGGGCTGTCCTGGACGCTTTGTTGGAAGGAAAGGCTCAGTGGGGCAGCAACATGCAGGTGAGAACTCCTCAACAGTGTCTGCACTGCAGATTGAGCTGTGTCCAGAGGCAATGGGAAGGAACCATGTTTAAAGAGGCGCCTCATGTGGCTGGCTGTGGATTCACATGAGGAGCCTCCTGTGTCTATCACACATGAAATATCCTGAGAACAAAGTCAGTTTAACATACAGTAGGTAGTACAAGAAATAATATTCTTGGCACCACCAGCAACCACAGCCTTGGAGGAAAGCCACCTTAACTAAAGCAGAAACCATTTATCTGCAAAATGGGCCCAAGATTCATTGCCCTTCCTCCAGTATGCCAAGAGTCTTGTGTGTGTGAATCAAAGCGGTCATATTTCCTTTCTTCCTTTGTGTTTTATGAGTAGACTGTAGCTAGGAATAGGGCCATTTAGAAAAACAGCTGTCCATGTGAAATTCCACAGTAGGAGCATTGCTGAATATAGTCCCTCACAGGACACTCCCAACTCCCAAACATCAGGCCTGACCACAAACCATCCCTTATTTATTTAATGACAGGGTCTCTCTATGTTGCCCAGGCTGGTCTCGAACTCCTGGCCTTAAATGATTCGTAGAACGAGCCATTATTAATTCAGCGGTGATCTTTGCTTATCAAGTTTTATTTGTGGTTCTGTACAAAATTACATAGTAAATTGTGCTTGTATCATATTATATAGAATTACTTGTTATTTAATCATATGAAATCTAATGAGAGGCACCCAGTGGCTTCTTACTGAATACTAGACGGAATTTATACTATTCAGGACATTACCTACCCACCCCATACCTCCATACCTCCATCCCCAACCACACACATAAAGTAAAGGTGCAGATCTTTGTTCTCAGGACAAAATGTTAGTTACGCACAATGAGTGGGCTTTTGAGGGCTTTGAAGTGCATGATAAAACTCCTTGGATTAAATATGCAACATCTTTTATGCAAAACTTACCAGTTGTGTTAAAGGAAATACAAGAAATTGTACCCTAACAGAAGCACTTTCTTAGCAGTAAAGAACTGAGAAACTGACAGTGAATGTAGATGAACGAATTGACAAGTGATTAGTTGCCTTTGGTTCCAGCCTTCAATTTCCCTTAGAAACAATAGCTTTTCTTTGCAGCTTTATTCTGGTTCCTGGAAAATATACATCGAAAAATCCTTTGCATTTCTTGAGGAAAATAGAGAATTTTTCTCTCATTTCCCTTCTTCTTCCAGTGGTCTAACTAATACCTTGCTATTCATTTTCTTTTTTTCCATGGTTTCTGTTTCTGCCCTTAAATAGCTTTTTTTTTTTTTTGTCTCTCCCTGCAGGTGACACTGATCCCAACTCATGACTCAGAAGTGATGAGGGAATGGTACCAGGAGACCCACGAGAAACAGCAAGACCTCAACATCATGGTTTTAGCAAGCAGCAGCACAGTGGTTATGCAAGATGAATCCTTCCCTGCATGCAAGATTGAACTGTAAAAAGCAAGGCCAGCCACACCACAGGATCTGAACTTTGTTTCCAGAAATTCTTCAATTTGAAATCACCTTTTCTAAAAAGTCAATTCATCTAGTTAAGTCGCTGAACAATTACCTGCCAAATGCTATACTGTGTCATGGTGATGCAAGTCACTAAATTTCTCAGTTTTTGCTGATTGCTAAGGGAAGTAACAGTATTCCCACAATAGGGTTCAAGTTCCTGCAAAATTACCTACCCCAGTTCATCTCTGCTGAACATTTGGAAACCATGCACTAGCCAACCCAACTGACTTCTGCTAGGTAGAGGCATTTGTCTTAGAGAGAGAGAGAGCGCGGGAGAGAGTGAGAGAGAGTGAGAGCACAAAGAGAACGCAGGAGAGAGACGGAGAAAGAATGAGAAAGAAAAGGAATGCAAGAGAAGGAGATGTAATGACAGAGAGTTCTGGTGAGATACCCAGAGAGAAAAAGAGAGAGCAGGGTGGGGTAAGGAGGAGAAAATAACCAACAATTAGGTCTGTATTTTCTCAGGCAGTAGGCATTCTTTAGTCTACATAGGCAAAGTTTTCCATTTTTGTCAGTCTGAGTCATCAAAAAGAGTCTTAATTTTCTAAAACAAGTTGGCTAGAAGAAAAGTAAAAAGAACAAAACTTGTTATGAGGGCATGTGATATTTTCACATCTTAATTAAGCTCCTTCAGTTTGAAGGCTGCACACTGACATGATGTAGTGAGTGTAGACTGGCCATGCAAGTGGTTTGGGCCCCATTCAGAACTCTCAGACTCTAAACACACAAGTAGATTGATCTAAGGCATGCTCCCAGCATTTGTCCACCCACTTAGTCCACTCTGAGTCGATTAACCTGCATGCAGCAACACCCAAGTCCACCCCAATTAACTGAAGCAAATACCAAAGCAGTTGGGAGTACATATGGTAGACAATTTGCCTTAGGAAGTGACTTGAATGTACAAAGATACTTGATGCACTTATTTTTTAATGTGAGACAGCAAGTTTATAAAACATCCCTATAGGATTATAGATACTTAAAGGAGCACATGGGTGAGCGCGTGTGGGGGTACTAGAAGCTGGTCTGATTGGTCCAACAGTTTGATGCTGAGTCATGTGTGTTGAATCCCACTTCAGTGCACCTGTGGCCTCTCAGTCAAACAAGTTGTGCCTTTCACAGCTTCTTTACTACTGCAAGTTCAAGACTGAAATGGCTTCTATGATCAGAACTGGGAAAACAGTGAATCTTATGGTGGAAGAGGTTCTCAGCAAGTGTACAGTATTTACCTTTGTCTTACATTGGCTTTTTAAATTTTCCATTAATTTCAACGTAATTATGGGAACAAGTGTACAGAAGAATTTTTTTTTAAGATATGTGAGAACTTTTCATAGATGAACTTTTTAACAAATGTTTTCATTTACAGGAAATTGCAAAGAAAATTCTCAAGTGATAGTCTTTTTTTTAAGTGTTTCGTAAGACAAAAATTGAATAATGTTTTTTGAAGTTCTGGCAAGATTGAAGTCTGATATTGCAGTAATGATATTTATTAAAAACCCATAACTACCAGGAATAATGATACCTCCCACCCCTTGATTCCCATAACATAAAAGTGCTACTTGAGAGTGGGGGAGAATGGCATGGTAGGCTACTTTTCAGGGCCTTGACAAGTACATCACCCAGTGGTATCCTACATACTTCTTTCAAGATCTTCAACCATGAGGTAAAAGAGCCAAGTTCAAAGAACCCTAGCACAAATTTGCTTTGGGATTTTCTTTTCTGGAAAAAAAAAAAAAATAAAAGAAATAGTACATTGAAAACAAATGAATTCTCAACTCCTACGGTTCATGTAGAGTTTAGAGAAAATTTCCATCATTGTCATCATTGAACTGTGAACCTGGGAAGCCAGATCATGATTAAAACTGACATCAAGTTTCAAGTTGCAGATCAATGCACCCAGTGTTCAGATGCGGCAAACCTCTCCGTGACAACTGTGTTGTGCTCTGTCACATTACATTTCCTGCAGACTCTAAGATCTACGGAGTAGAGAACAATGACCTCATTTTATTTTCTATGTTAGTTATTTATTTCAAAATTAACATTTTAGTTTATTTTTGTCTGATAAGTGTATGTTTTGCACTGCTAACTACAATGAGGGTTTAAAAAAACGCTTCTTCAGGGTCCTTTCACTGAGGACCTGTGCAGTCTACTTAATGCTGTGAATTACGTTTTTCAAATGTTTAATTTTTTAAAGAAAATTAATATTCTATTTTTGTTAGGCTTCTCTAGAAATGCAGCTTTTATTTATTACCCCATTTCTTTCAAGTCCTTGAAAAATAACATATTAAGGGTACAAGAAATTAACACATGATGGAAAAGTCATTGTGACGCAAATGAATTTCATTGAGTATAAACGCATCTACTTCAAACTTATTTTATAAGACAACCTAAGATACTCGAGATAATTATTTAATGGTTAGCTCTTAAGTTGAATTGGTCTACATAATACGTGGGAAGAAAACCAGATTTTTAGCCTTCTTGCCAAATCCAGACCTCTGGTTGATTTTTCTTTGACAGAAGATGAAGTAATTTTCCAGTTTCCCAAATTAAATGTATTTAACATGTACATTATTTTGGTTTAAAAACTATAAACATTGTAGGAGAATTATAGCCAGTCTTCAGTTATAACCACTCCACCCCCCTCACTTTCTCTCTCTCTCTCTCTCTCTTTTTTTTTTTTTTTTTTTTGCTATGGGATTTAATGGGAAAAATATATAAAAACTATCACTAGTCAGCTGGCTCTTTTTCCTATGAAATCTATCAGTACCTTTCTCCATCCATTGTTCTCAATAATGACCACAGAGCCTGAGTATACCAAGAAAACCAATATTCGCATTACAGGTTGCTCCTGTCCTTCCAGACACCTTTCCTGCCTGTGTGACTAACCTAATTTTGCTAGTTCCATAAATACACGATTAGTTTAGTAACAGCCATCACAATGTACCATGTACATTCTAAGTGAGAGCTAAAGATCGACACAGACTTCTAGGAGCTTTGTTCATACTGATTACTTAATCCAATTGTATAGATTGAATATTTGAGTGGAAGGAATTTACACTCTGTTTAAACGATGGGATTGTATCGAGATAGCACTCATGATCATGACCTTTTTGGTAGTATTCTTAAACAAAATTCTACAGAGACTAAATGTTAGAGATGATCCTCCATTTTCAATTTTAACCAGTTCTGTCCCCTTTCTCAAAACCCTGAGCCCTGTGCATGCTTTCTCAGTCTTGTGGTGGGACTGGATACAATGACTAACTTCCCCTCCTCCCCCTTTTAAACACCATTTTCCATGGAGTTCAAAAAAATTTTTTTTCCTTAACGTTACATATCATAGTGAATGGTTTCCCCAGTGTATATGAATGTTTTAAGTGTCTCCAATAGCTTATGCAGTCTAGGAGCTTTCCAATACTCATTTAATTAAGATTTAATCATTTGCTAATGGAAATCTTACCACCTTTCATTTTCCCTCTATTACCAAATTTCAGCTCTTAGGAGCTGCTCTACAATTCTCAATTTGCTTTTCTTGCCTCTCTTTAGTCACCTGTCACAGGAGGTTCCTGCTCAGTAATGATATTGTGAGTTAGGATAATAACTTTTTTTTTTTGTGCTTCAGATTTAGAAGAAAAGATCCTGTTTCCATTTGAAAGGAACTGTAAGCTTTTATCTTTTAACCAACTGAACAATACACCAAAAGCAGCCTAGGGATGAGCATTTCTTTGAAAGCAATTAGGTTATTCACCTGGTATTAAAACTATTTACTGTTAAAAAATCTGTGACTTCATGAAGTTGATTTTTAAAGGCAGCATCAAAAACTGAAAAGGAAGGGAAAAAATAAGCAGCTTCTCTGCATTTGTTTGGAGCTCCCCAAAACGGGGGCCATGGAGAAGTGGCATCAAGACCGGGCTGCCCTTTCGAGAACACCCTGTGGCAGTTCAGAGACACGCTTTTCCTCCACTGCATGCAGCCCCTCTTTCCAGCACTGGAAAGAAGTGGTCTTGAGCCCGGCTGAGAAGCACTTCACACTCCTCTCTCTTGTTCTGAATGGTGTTTGTGTCAGTCTGCAGCTGTGTATGGTATTATGTCTTATAATCCTGCATCACTTCTATCCTATCCAGTCATATCTAATGTAGAAAATTAGTTTCCAGTGAAAGTAATATGTAGTGCTTTTATGATATTTGTGTGCAATATCCCCTCTTCCATTGAGGATATTTGATGTAAAGGAAAAAAAAAAAACTCAGTTCCACAATAAAATACAAAAGTGGCAAAAGTTCATGTGTGTGCTGTGCTGTCTTTTGCTTTGTGTTCCTGAGTTGGGCTTTGCCACTCACGCAGAATGCTGGGCAGTCAGGGCATGACAGCAGGGACTGACTATGTTCTTTTCAAGGTGGGCTCCCTGGCTTTTGGCAAACTCCTGAAAGGGTCTTGCTAATACTTGCAACTGCTACCTCGTTAACTTTTATAGCCAAGCCCTAGAGGATGTGAGCGTCTAAGAACAGAAACTGGGAGGTGAAGGGAAGGAACAATTAAAATTATTGCTTAAAAAGAAAAGAAAAGAAAAAGGATAGCTGGGTGCAGTGGTACATGCCTGTGATCCCAGTACTTTGGGAGGCCAAGGTGGGAGAATCATTTGAGCCCAGCAGTTCAAGGCTGTAGTGAACCATGATTGTGCCATTGCACTCCAGCCTGGGCAAGAAAGAGACCCTGTCTCTGGAAAAAAAAAAAAAAAAAAGAAAAAAACAGATCAGACCAGAACCTAGCATAGAAAAAACAGATCAGACCAGAACCTATCATATTCAGCAATTGTGCTCAGTACCTTATCTTTCTCTTAGTTCCTTGCTCACTGTTACAGAATATCCTCTAGCTAACTAACATCATATGTTATGGTTTTGACTCATACCCAGGAACTAGAAGTTGTTGGGAAAAAGTGATTATATATGTAGCTAAGAATACCTAACAAGAGGAGGATTTCCTCCCCGTCATTCAAACGATTATTGCACATTTACCCTGTATCTGGCAGCGGATTGTATTACGAGATATAACCTAACTGCTGCCCTAACTGATTGGGGGAAGACAGACCAGCAGAGGCAGTGATACCACATTGTTACAGGGGCTCCTAAAATTCAAGAGCGAGCTTAGGTGACCACAGGAAAAGCACCGCAAATGATGTCTCGGCTGAGCTCTGGAGTGTGCGCGTGCGTGTGTGTGTGCATCGGTCGGACCGAAAGTAAATTCCAGGCAGAGGCAAGAGCTCACACGGCGTCTCAGCAGAGAGCAGGATCAGCATATATTAGGGAGCACAGACTGCTCACAATGGCAGTGTGTGGATGGGGAGGCCCTGGCCCTTCAGTTTCCCCTGATGTGGCCACAAAAAACTTGCCCAGAAAGTTCTCAATAGAGACCTCCAGGACCAGGCCCTGCCTGTCTGCAGAGATGGTCCTTTAGCCCAAAAGACCCCTGCAGCCTGTCCCGAGTCATTATGATATTCCTTTGCGTGTCATATCCACTCCTTTTGATCTTAATTTCCCCCTCCAAACCATGGGGCTACATTGAATGGTCCCATCAGAAATCACTGCTTGCTAAGAGGGATTCTGAAATCCCTCCAGAAATTAAAGGGTTAAGCATGTGAGCACTCAGGGTGGGAAATCATCACTTGCAGATTTTAATTTCATCTATCAGACTCAAATTAAATAGTAAATAAGTTGTTTTCTATTCCACTGCCAAATTGTTCAGTTCCAGGAAGCCTTACTTCTGGCCTGAAGCCAGGGTGGCAAACTATCTTGGTTTGCTCAGGATTGCCCTGATTTCAGCACTGAAAGTCCTGTGTCCCAGAAAACCCCTTAGTCCCTGGGAACCACTGAAGGCTAGTCACCCTACCTGAACCCTGCCCTGCTGTTTACATCCCCTTCTCCCCACATCCAGGCACAGTGGAAGGGGAAAAGTTGGCATCAGCGTTCCTTCAGTTTCTTTTTTCTTATCTTCTGAGAAAATCAACAAAGGTCTGTTGAGGTCCTGTGATCATATTTTTTCTTCTTAATTGTACCGCTCATTCGGGATGATTTTCTATATCCCTACAATGCTTTTTTAAAAACACTCCTGACTCATGAATTCTTGGTCCCTTGCATAATTTCCGAACTATTTCCTCTTTGATCTTGTATTGTATGTCTTGGAAATTCACTCGAGCCATATATGCAGTTTTGGTCACAGCCAGCTCGTTTAATATGAGCAGTTCTTCTGGATACTCCTCTAGAGGTTATTGGCAATGTTTTCACAGATGGTGGAGCAGAGCTTCTGAGGTCTGCTTGATTCACAGGGAGATGTCTCCATACACCAACAGACGCAGCTCTATTTCATGGCTCAGATTGTCCCCACTAAAACCAGAAATGCATGCTGCTTTAATGCAGTCTCAGGAATTTAAATGCCATGTGTAGACTGATGATTTTTATGGTCATATCTGCACCCTGTACGTCATCTCTTACCTCCAAGTTCATATATCCAGTGCCCGTTAAAATCTCCACGTGGATATCCAATAGGAGTCTTTAAAATACCCTAAACCAAATGTAACATGTCCGCAAACAAACCCCTGATTTCCCTTTGCAAACTGCTTCTCTCCTAGGCTTTTCTACCTCAGTAAATGACAAATACATATTCTTGTTGTTCAGATCAAAAATTTTGGCCCATCAGCAAATCTACTGGCTAGCAAGTACTGCTGGCTTGACCTTCAAAATACATCAGTCGGATACCTTCTCCTCATATTCACGGTTACTACCCTTGTCCAAGTCAAATCATTTCTCTCCTGGTTTATTGCAGGAACATCCTAATTGACCTTCCTGTTTCCTATCTTTGCCCTCCTAGCTTATTCTCCATGTTGCAGCTACAGTAGAGTAATCCTCTAAAAATATTAAGTCAAATCATGCCACCCATGCTTAAAGCTCTTGAGTAAGTTCTCATCTTAGAGTAAAAGCCAGTGTCTTTACTGATGGACTAAGAAGGCTTACACAATCCATCCCTCCTCTACCCCTTCTCTCTGACTTCATTTCCCACTTCTCTCTACCTTACACATTCTGCTCCAGCCATACTGGCCTCCTTGCTATTCCTCAGGCATTCAGCCTTTCATCTCGGGGCCTTTGTGCTATTTCCCTTGCTGGACATGCTTTTTCTCCAGGTGATTCCACGGTTTTCAATCTCACTCATGTGGGGTTTTGTTCAAATGTCATTTTCTCAGGAAGGCCTTCCCTAACCACCCTATTTTAAGTTGCAATCTCCACCATTTACCTAGCACTCTCTTTTTCTCTACCTTCCTGGTCTCCATATGACATATTATTTTTGTGATCAAGGTTGGGGCAAAGCCCGGTGCAGTGGCTCACACCTGTAATCCCAGCACTTTGGGAGGCCAAGGCTGATGGATCACTTGAGGTCAGGAGTTTGAGACCTGCCTCGCCAACATGGTGAAACCCCGTCTCTAGTGAAAATACAAAAATTAGCCAGGTATGGTGGTGCATACCTGTAATCCCAGCCACTCAGAAGGCTGAGGCAGGAGAATTCAGCCTGGGTAACAACGTGAGACTCCGTCTCAAAAAAAAAAAAAAAGGTGGGAGTTAATGAGCCAGAGCCTGGGAAATACTCATACCCAGCAGTGGCCCAGCATGCTGTTAATGGAGTACATTTGTAATGGGCATTAATGGTCTATTCTACCTACTATCATAGGCATATTCACTTTGGAGGGTGTTTTAAGGATTAGAAGTTTGAACTCTGCAGAGATGAAGCATCATGGGAAACAAAAGCCAAAAAAACAAACAATTCTACCACTGAGGGCATCAGAGGATATAATACCCCTTTTATAAATCTTTCTCATAGTCCTTGATCCTGCATTTAAAATCCATGATGAAATTTATTTTCAGGTGCTTTTTACAAGAATAAACTCCTTGTTTTCTGAATATGCCTAGCTCAGATCTGGAATCTTTTTCATACATAATAATCACAGCTCAAGCAACGATTTTGTTTTAAACAAAGATCCCAGTGGTTACTGCCACAACCTCAGCAGCGTTGCCACCATCGTTTGTTTAGATTTCCCTGTTACCACACAGGTAATAACATCCTCAAAGCAGTATGCAGTATCAGCAAAAAGGCCAAATCCATGGGGAATAAGAGGTTATTTTCAAGCTAAGACACTGTTATTTAGAACAAAAGGCAATTTTCCTTTGTTGAAAAGCATTACTTTCCAACCATTTCCTAAAGCAAAATTTTTAAAATGGATCATTTTCAGAATTTGAAAAGCTCATGAAAATACAACCACACCACATTTTCTGCTTTGATGACTCACTAAAGTCAAAGCTCTCTGAGACCTTTTTCTACTTCATCTTTTTCTCACCTATGCCCAGGGTACCAGCGGAATCACCTTCCACTGACTCACGCAAGGTCACTTCACAGCATCTGCATTTTGGAACTCAAAACTCCTGCTCCAGTTACAACCAGACAGCAAAACCATATAAATCACCATTTACTCTTTTCCCTAATGGATCTTACTCAGGAAGAATAATGGCCTACTCTGCATCACTGCGTATTTTATATTTATATTCAGAGTTAGACAAGAAACAGCTACTAAATTAATGATTCTTCTAGCCTGAAATATCATTTGTAAATGAGCTATTTGCTACAAATATCATTGTTGGGTCTCATCTACATTCCCTGAAAAAGTCCTGTGAATGCTCCACCCATAAACCCTAGGCCAGGATTTCTAACGTCGACACTGCTAACATCTTAGACCAGATAGCTCCTTGTTGTGAGGGACTATCCTGTGCATTGTAAGATTTTAGCAGCATCCCTGACCTCTACGAACGAGATGCTAATAGCAGCCCTTCAAAATACCTTGACATTATCAAATGTCAGATGCTAATAGCAGCTCAATCAAAAATACCTTGGCATTACCAAACATCCCCTGGAAACAAATCACTCTTGGTTGAGAACCACTGCCCTGGGCTTACTCCTGGTTATCGGCAGACAGTTCTCCACCAGTGGATGGTGTTTCTCTAACAACACCTTTCAACTGTGTGTTGACAGGTGCGAATGAGCCAACCTCACTAGAATCTAAGTTCTTCCTGGTCTCTGCCCAAGGGTGTTTCCTGGTCATGGGAGTGTGATGGTGCTGCACTAGGAGTAGGCTGTAGTGTTCCCAACCCATAAGGGAATGAACTGAATGGGCAAATACTTAGCTAGCTTCCTTGCCTCTCAGAGGAAACTGCTGAGGTGTGCTCTTCACGGTCTCTCAGAGGGTCCACAGCAAGAATGAGCCGGTTTCCACAATCCACTCAATCATGCACCCTTTTTTGGCTCTCCTTTCTACCCTGTCTCAATTTCTCCTTCCCTCACCTGCTTTCGTAAGATCACCTCCAACTAATGCACCTGCACTCAAATTTCTGTCTCCTGTCTTGCTTTAGGGGGAACCTAATCTGAGACTGTGATCTTCCGAGTTTGGGAGTGCACTTTAGGAGTCAGATACAGGTTTGACCCTGGCTCTCCAATTCACAGAGGGAAACCTTGGCATTTAATCACTTCTCTAAGTTTTTGTTATCTTGTATATAAAAAGAGCTGTAATAATGGTCATATTCTTGTGGGTTAAATAAGATCATGTATACAAAAATTTAATATGGCACTTGGCTATAAATGGTCAATAAACATTGGCTTTTATTACTGGTCTAGAAATGATCAGATTTGTGTTATAGCTTCACTTCCTAACTCCTTGCTTTGAGGCAGATAAGTGGGATACACATATGTAGAGAGAATTCTGATGTGATGCACCATGCTCACCCCCTATTTCCCCCCTCCAAATCTTCCTCCTGGTGTCAATTTTGGCTTACACTAAACTTTGTAGAAATCCAAAGAGGCTTTCTTTGGCATTAAACCTTCAGCTTAGGACATGTGGCTTCTAGCATCTCAGTATTTCTGCTGGGAATTATACCTCAACTGGAAGACTTTCCTTTCAACTTAACAAAAAATATTTCACTCAATAAATGTTTATAAGCCCCTTCCTCATGGTAATGCCTGTTCTCTGTGTTGGGCCACAACTGTGAACAAGATACATAGAGTGCCTGTCTTCATGGAGTTTAAAGTCTGGGGCCAGTCTCATCAATTAGTTCTAAATAATTAATTCAGAATCCATAAAATACTTAAGGGGTTTAACACTCCAGGGGGTGTTGCAGACTTGCTGTGATGATGGCTCATAAAAAAAGCCTGGAGAAAGGGATAGCCTGAAATACCCGAATTGACCTGGCAGACCCAGGAGAAAAGGATTAAAAGTCTCAGGGCGGCCTCCTGGAGCAGATACATGTATCACAGGAAGCCAGAAGACCCAGCAGAGGACTATGTTCCCTCGAGGGCCAGGTGGCACGTTGCTCATCAAGGTCACTGGGAATGCACTGGGAGGGCAATGGTGAGCAGGCACCTGTGTCACCGGGTTTGGTAGTAGACTAGGACTCACAGTAGGAAAGGAGGTTATGCTCGGTGTTGTTGGCAATAGGGATGATGGATGTTGAAAGTCTCCCCCATCTCAAGCAACAGAGGCTAGGCAGTGGTGCTTCCTCCCTCCTTTGCTTTTCCAGATGTAGGACCTCCACCTGAAGGCTTTCCTCACCCAATCCCAATTCCGCCTCCTTTCATTTTTCACAGGCTTTATCCCCACAAAACTGCTTTCACTGCCACCTCTGACTCATGCTGATCTGCTTCCGGGGGGCCTAAGTGACACAATGAGCTTCTAGAAATGGTTTTCATACCTAATTCTAAGTTCTTTATTCTACCACAGCAGCTATTTTTCCTTTCCTGGGTGGTTAAAACAAGAAGGTTTCCCAAAGTTCATCAGTTACCTGCAGCCAAAACAACAACAACAACAACAACAACAAAAAACAACAAAAAAAACAAACTAATTGTTTTCAGTGTGAAAAAAAGGTTTTAATCAACTTTTTTGGTCTTGCTCTGTTGCCCAGGCTGGAGTGCAGAGGCTCAATCTTGGCTCACTGCAACCTCTGCTTCTTGGGTTCAATCGATTCTCCTGCCTCAGCCTCCTGAATAGCTGGGATTACAGGTGCCAACCACCATGCCCAGCTAATTTTTGTATTTTTAGTAGAGATGGGGTTTTGCCATGTTAGCCAGGCTGGTCTTGAACTCCTGACCTCAAGTGATCCTTGGGCCCGGACTCCTAAAGTACTGGGATTACAGGTATGAGCCACTGCGTCTGCTATAATCAACTTATTTTCAAGGCCTCTGACTACTTCTTGTTGAATCTAAACCAATCTTCTCACACACCTACCTGATTCCACAGCCAACAAGACGGTTGGAAAACAGGGTGCAAGGCTGGGTGCCAAAGCAACACAGCACCAAGGGGAGCATAGTACATCATTTTTCTTTCTTCTCTTTTTTCCACCGCCTTGCTTTTTCTTCCTTTTTATGGCCAAGGTAAGTATGGGATGTGGGTCAAAACAAGTTTAATCTGAATTGTTCATTTTAGCTTAATTTAAAATATTTTCTCATGAACACACCACACAAGCCTCTGTGGAAAGAGGACCCCAGGGCAGCTTGAGGCACTCATATGTGACTAATTAATGCACAAAGCAGGCAATTAATTCCCTTCATTAGAGCTCTTCCCATCGCTGGGCTTAAAGTGATCTTCCTGTGAACTCCCACATATATTAACTGTTTGTCTAATGACACCTTTCAGCTGTGTGTTGATGGGTGTGGATGTGCCAGCCTCACTAGAATCTGTTATTTGAGGGTAAAATCTATAGTTTATTCATCCTTGCAAACTTCATAGCACTTGTATAGTGCCTTGCACACAGTATATGCCGAACACTTGAGAGCTTCTGAAAGCAGTGCTGGAACAGACAGTACATCTGCTGCAGACAGCAAGCTTATAAGGGGTGGTCAGTGGTACCCAATGGAGCGGAGCATTTAAAAGAAAAAAAAAAAAAAGATCACTGTAGTTGATGGCCATGCTGTGCAGCAGAGTGGTAAAGCTGTAAGCCAAATTCTCAGCATCTAATGAATGAGCAATGAGCCAGTAAGTGTAGATACCCTTTCAAGAAGTTTGGAGACATAAGGAAGGAGACATAGCATAACAGCTTGACTGATGGCAGGGTAAAGGCTTTTTTGCTGTTAAAAAGCATTGAATAAGGTCTTGAATAAGACTGTAGACTTAGAAGAAATCAACAGAGATGCTATAAGATGGAAAGGAAATGCTTGAATGTGTAGAACAGGTGGGCAGGTACGGGTCAAGGTCACAAATGAAAAGTCTAACCTTGGAAAGGAGGGAGGGGATACCTATATTTGAAAGTAGGAAGGGTGATGGAGAGAACATCTGCTTGTAGTTCTGAGGGCAGAGCTTCGAGCTAACGCAGAATAGAAAAGTTATGGAAGCAAATATGAGAGTCAATTAAAGGAAGGACTATTGAGTTGAAGAGAAACAGCCATAATTTTGTAGAAGAATCTAATCAGCCTAATACTATGACTTTATGTATCTACACTTAGTAAGTCAGAACTAAAGACAAAATTAATGGTGGTGTTATCAGTTTCCTAGGGCTGCAGTAACAAAGTACCAAAAATGGTGTGGCTTAAAACAGTTCTGAAGGCTACAACTCAGAAATCAAGGTGTCTGCAGGGCCAAGCTTTCTCTGACAGCTCTAGGGGAGAACTGTCTTTACCCCTTCTAACTTCTGGTGTTTGCTGGCAAGCCTTGGTGTTCCTGGGTCTGTACAGTCACATGCTCATCTTCCCTCTGTGAGTCTGTGTGTGCAAATTTCCCCTTTTAAAAAAACACCAAATTGGATCAGGCTGACCCTGATGATCTCATTCTAAATTTGATTACCTCAGTAAAAGAACTTATTTCCAACTAAGGTCAGATTCTAAGGGACTGGGGATTAGGGATACAACTTACCTTTCTTAGGGAACACAATTCTGCCCATAACAGATGGGTGCAAGGATGTAGGTTGAAGGCTGGTAAGTGAGCCTGGATAAAGGGAGTGAGAGAAAACCAAGATGCTAATGAGAACATCAGGGGGATGGCTGACCATGGGGCCCACACTGGAAGAGCAGCACATTCTGGAGGCCAAGAGTTGGGGTGATGGGGTAAAGGCTAAGGGTTAGCAGGCGGGAAATTACAGGGCAAGCTGGTTCAGCAGCAGTCATGGTACGAGACAAGCCTGGGAGAGTGGGGACTTCAGGATCTAAGATCTTGGATTCGTGATATGAGGCTGGAGGTTTGGCTGTCACTACGGCAGGTCAGCTGCAGAAGGTAATTTGTTACTGGGAGATGACCCAGTTGAGGTCATCTCCAGAGACCAGGGCACCAAGAGCAGTTTCTCCATCCACATGGAAGAAATACAGAAGACGACATCAGGGAAAGGGACTAAGGACAACCGTATTGGGAAGAGCCAATTGTGAGGGAAGGCGGGAGAGTATCCTATAGCTCAGGAGATAGGGACATGGGGAAAGGGCAGAATATTTGGAGGGGAAAGACTCCAAGAGTCCTGAGAAATGGGGCACAAGTGTGGAAGGAATCCTGAGGAGCAGGGAACATGGAAATTCCTGTGGGACCACAGTACAGTGGCAGAAGTGGTCTCTTTTGGTGAAGACTGGAAGTAAAGTACATTGGGGCTGGAGGGGGAAGAAAAATGAAGGCAAAACGTTGAGCCAAAGCCTTAACCAGATACTTCATGTTGTGATAGTCATTAATTTACTGGGCAAAAGTTGCCCTTCGGTTTGTCTTGAATGTTCCTCTTAATGTAATAAGAGAGTGGCTGAAAAGCTATCGTTGGTAAACCAAAATGTTGGAACTGACTTTTGGTCACGGCCCTCTGCCTAAGTAAGATTCAGCAGCTTTGCTAGTCTAAAGGGCCCTGTGATGGAACCTGACTGCAGTTCCACATGGAGGCCACAGGCAGGGAGAGGAGCAGCAGGGGAGCTGCTTGGTTTCATAAAATAGGGACACTGGTACCTCCCTCATAGGGCTGCTTGGGTTTTCAGCCTACAGTTAAGTCCTTACTAAATATTAGTGGTGGTAATTATCATTATAAATCCCATAGTCTGAGGGAGGGTTGAAAGTACGCTCCTCAAAATCATAGTAACAATGAGTCTCTCTCTCCCTTCTCCCTTTCCCCAAAGATAAAGAATACACTAACGTGATCCCAAACATTTATTTCCAGAGGTTTTTGACAGAAGAGGACAATCTTGAATAAAATTACACCACTGTACTTAAGGGCAACACTACACAGTAAGCAAAATCTGCCCTGACCACTTTCACAGACGAGAAACTTCAGAAAGGAATCTTCCATCTCCTGACAGTTTGACAACATTCGTATCTGACGCACTTCAAGCCTCAACCCATCTCTCATTTTCTAACTTCAACAGAAAATGTGTGTTCACAAGCTGTGTGTGCGCACATGTGCCTGTGTGTACACAAAAGGCTCATTTCACCTACTTGATAAATGAGCTGAGATAATGTTTTAGAAAAAAAAAAATTGGAAAAAAAAAATGTTACCCCAACACGATGGAGAAGCCAAGCCAAAAAGGCTTCATGCTAGAGCTAGCTTTCTCCTCAAAAACTCTTACATCCTAAAAACGTCCCAGTGGGTGCCTAAAAACTGAAATCCAGCGAGTTCATGGCCTTGAGTTCACTCCTGTCCTGAATTTCTCCCAGTGCAGGTCCAGAAGGGCAAGATGTGCCAGAAAGGAGAACGTGGGAATGTGTGAGTATCCTACAGCCAGCCCATAGTGCAGCTTGCACTCAGAGAGGAGACTCAGGGACACAAGGTCTCAGGATGCACAGCTCACCTTGGCCTCATGTGCCTGGGCTGGGGAGAGGGAGACCATTCAAAAGCCTGTGCTTGGCTGGGCGCGGTGGTTCACACCTATCATCCCAGCACTTTGGGAGGCCGGGGCGGGCAGATCACTTGAGGTCAGTAGGTTAAGGACAGCCTGACCAACATGGTGAAACCCCATCTCTACTAAAAATACAAAAATTAGCCGGGGGTGGTGGTGCGCACCTGTAATCCCACCTACTCAGGAGGCTGAGGCAGGAGAATTGCTTGAACCCAGGAGTCGGAGGTTGCAGTGAGCTGAGATTGCACCACGGCACTCCAGCCTGGGTGACAGAGTGAGACTCTGTCTCAAAAAACAAAAACAACAAAAAAGAAAAGCCCATGCTTCAGACTTAACTCTTCAGCCTTGGTTTCTCCCAGTACCGTTACTGGGTCTTAGGAACTTTAATGCTCATAACTAATCCCTGTGACCCAGGAACTCCATCATGAGCCTCAAGAGCCCTCCTTAAGGTATTCAGCCGGTGACTTCAGTCTGACCACTAGCCACCTGCATAATTCCACAGCCCTTCTTGGCATCTCGATGGGCAGTCATGGTGCCTTGCCATGTAGGGCACATAGCCTGCTTAAAGAAAAGAAGATGGGTAGAGAAAGTGGAGGCTGCTGTCCAGGCCACTGCTGAATCCTGGCACAGGGTTGAGTGAAGTTTTTGTGAGAGGGGTGGGGTCCTGGGGGACCCAATTAGGCAGATGCCTTTGCTACTTTCTGAGCCTGGTACTCCTGCTTCGCTTTCTCCCTCTGTTCCTGTTCTCTCTGGATCAACTGTACACGGTCTAGATGCCACTGCTGCAGATTCTGCTCATAGGTGACGATGTCCTCTGCTTCACAGGCGGAGAGTTTTTCCTTGACAAGCTGGGTGGTCAGACTTAAAAGACTTTCTGACTCAATTTTGCCCAGAGTCTGAAGCTTAGAATGTAAGGCCTGTTGGAAACAAAGGGGACAAATGAGGAGAAAGGTAGAGAAGTGAGAGAAGGATACAAAGAGGAAAAACTAGCCCTGAGTGACTGACTTTAGATTTGAACAAAAGTTTGCTGACTCGTAGTTTAGTCCTCATTCTAGTGTCCCAGAATGAAGTCACCTGCAAAATAACCAAAAGTTTTGCTGGTAGAAAAAAACCATTTTGTTGGGAAATTGTCACGCTACCTTTCATCCAGGTGCTGTTAGCTTTTGTTATTTTCTTCAGCTCGGCAATTTTGCTAAGATGCACCGCATGTGATTTCTCTCCTTTCACTCACAAACAGTAAATGGAATTCCATATGCTGTGTCTCCCTGTGTAATTTCTTGTTTTAAACCACAGAGATGGCCAGCCTCTAACAAATCTGTTTCCACCCTGACCTAAATCAAACCAAGCAGCAAACTCCAAGAACAAGAATTCTAATATGCAAACAAAATGGCAGAGGCATCTGATAACTGGAGCAAGCCCAACCATACTTGTGCCTTCAGAATAACTGAAACATGTATTTGCTTTCCTGGAGTTCCTCTCAACAGACAGAAATCAGTTCAAGGAATAGCTCCCCTGAGTGCCTGCACTGTTAGAAGCATCCACCTGCTGTGCTCCACTGCAGGTCAGCCTTTATGTACTGCCTGCTTACAGCTCCAACTGAAATGGCAGCTTGGTTTGGTTGGTGGTGTGTTCCTGGAGAAGTTAAGTATTAAAAACATTAATCTATTTAAGTACTTCGAGATGTACTCTCTCATTAGAGAGACAGAGCCACTTATGGGGCCAGCTGTAGCTTATACCACACATCCCCATGTTCCACAAACAAATGCCACTCATTGGCACAGGAAAGGAGGCTTGCTCCAGTAACAGGGTTGGAGGTGGGCAGGGTGCCTAGGCTCCAGGAGGGCCCAGAGGCCTAGTGTGAGAGTCAATCATATAAAAATGGCTCCCAAACAAATGACCTCAGACTAACAAAAACCAGGCAACAGGAAGAAAAGGAAATGTAAAACGAAAACGATTTCTCTCTGATAACACTCTTCATGTGGGGTTTGAGGCCAACAAGACAGTTTGGGACACCAGAAAGAGGACTCAACTATGAGTCGGCAAACTTTTGTTCAAATCTAAAGTCAGTCACTCTGGGCTACTCTTTCTCAGTTTTGCTGTCATCTAACATGAGAAAGGTAGTCTAGCATCCAGAGATCTTGCAAGCAGAAATGCACTGGTGCCCAACACGCAGTTAGTAGTCAATAAATACTTGTCTTTTTAAAATGTTCATAAAAATACATTCGTAGAGGAATGAGGGCTGACAACGTAATGCAGGCACAGGTTTCTATTCTCTGAGGCCAAGTATATAAGAAACAAGGGAAGGAAGTTTTAATTTTTAAGAATAGTGTGGCAACCTTAGTCAATGTGAATGCAATGAATCATAATATATGGGGCTAAGGAGATTTTTTTTCTTCAGCCTTTCTAAATATACAAGGTTAAGCAAAGAGCCTGAAGGGGCAGACATGCAAATTCTCAGCCCAGCTACACTGCCAATTCTCTGGGTACCTTGGGAACATCGATTAATCTTTCTTTCTCAGTTTCAAATTTTAAGAGGGAAGTTGAGCAATGACTTCATAGAAGTACTGGGCGAAATTGCTGCTAAAAATACAACAGGCTCCCCCTTATAACACTGGGAATTAGGTTCTGTCCAATTACTGAAAAGATTTAAACATAATAATCTAGCAGAGTTTACATCTTATCAATACCAAAATGACACAAGTCACATACAATAAGTGGGAAAGTTTCTTGCTGTACAAAGAATTCCCATTCTGGCAGCATTTTTTCCCCCTTTGCACTAGACAATAATCAAAGCAGCTAAGAAGCCAAGAGTTCAAACATTGAACATGGTTCTTTCCTGACACTGATCACAGAGCATTTTGGGATGTACAGAGTTAGACGTTACCAAAGGTAGCTTGAGTGCTCAGGGCTGTTCTGGAAAGAAATAGTGCAAACTGTTTACTGCTTCCATGCAGCACAAGAGAACAACACAGCTGCCAAAGATGAGCAAAGAGAGACGCCCGCGTGTTATCTCTACATACGAAATGTGGCATTATAGTGTCTAACTGGGTTTTTAGGTTATCAAGCACATTTAGTGCAAGATGGAGAAATGGCCAGATACTTTCCACCTGGGGTGGGAGTCAGGTTATTGCTGAGGAGGCAAGCAACTACCTAGCCAACAGGCGCATATCAGGAATGCGTGGGCAATGACATGCTACCTTGGTGAACAAAACTGTGACCGATTAGCTCAAATACAAAAGGAGCATAAAAATTCCATTGGTTTAAGACCACTTCCTGTGCAAAGCAATACAAATGTAATTTTTGATGTCAGTTTTTAATGCCTCTTTGTGTGTGACATTGATGCAGAAAGAATGCTTGTCCATCACCACAGGAGAGAAGTGTGTTTTATACACCGCTAAGAGAGACACATTCTGCTGTGATTCACCTGAAATCGTTCCAGGTACTGAGGAAGCTTCGACTGTTCTGTTTCCTCGATGTCTAACTGCTCCACCAGTTTTTCCCACTCCTGCTTGTCTTCATCTTTTTGGGACTGCTCCTCTGAAACCCCATCAGCTGAAGTCACAGCCTTCAGCACTGCGTCCAGCACATGGAGCTGTGGAGCAGAAAGAGGGTCAGCAACTACATGTCTTATGGCCCAAAAGCACATGGTGAAGAGAGGCTGGAAAAGGTGAAAGAAAGCAAGAATGAGCTCTAAAAGACTGTGAAAAGATTTCCCTTACAAAATTGTAGAAAATATAAATGGTTATATTTTTTCACATTATAAACACCCTATCAGATGGCATGGAAAACAGTACAAAACAAATAGTAGAAATAAGCAAGCTAGGCTGGGTATGGTGGCTCATGCCTGTAATCTCAGCACTTTGGGAGGATGATGTGGAAGGATTGCTTGAGCCCAGGAGTTTGAGACCAGCCTGGACAACATAGGGAGACCCCATCAATTAAAAAAAAAAAAAGCCAAGCATGGTGGTGCACCCCTGTGGTAGGTCCCAGCTGCTCAGGAGGCTGAGGCAGGAAGACTGCTTGAGCCTGGGAGGCGGAGGCTATAGTGAGCCATGATCACATCACTGCACTCCAGCCTGAGTGACATAGCGAGACCCTGTCTCAAAGACAAAACAACAACAAAATACCAAATAAGCGAGCTAAGAATTATTTGTATAAGTGAATCAGCACAATGGCAGCTAAGTTCGCTTTTAGTTAGCCAGATAGGAATCCAGGAATAATGCTTGATGGACACTAAAGTACTTCCCACTTCCATGTCTTTCTTCCTCAGTCAGTTTGGATTTGGGACAAAGGGATAGACAACTACAGAACACAACCAACCAAAGGCCATTTTAAGTGTATGTTAAAGCCTCTGGATATAGGCAAGGGTCCCCCTCAGAGAAAGATTTTAGCTCACATGGTATCTGTAAATTAAGGATCAGTGTAATTCACATAAGCTGCTGGCAAAGACCAGAGATGCATACATGAAATTCATTTGAATGAGGTGATTTCTGTGACTTAGGAAGTAAATTTAAAAACAGAAGATTTTTGTTTTGACCCCTCTCCCCTCTACTTTCACTTTGAGGTACATCTCCCTTGACCCACAGAGGGCCTAATGATCAGAAATGGGATATTAACAACAGCAAGGCCAGCAGAAACACCTGCCTGGAAACCAATTAATCCTGTCCATGTCACATCAGAACACAAATCCTACAAATACGCCAAGGCCTTTTAATACCACTAATACATCACACCCAAACTGGACACATAGCACATTTTTGCTGACATGTGAACACATTTTCTACTGTTAGAATGCAAAGATTGCAAATCTGGCTGAGATTGGAAGGAATATTTCCCTAGCAAAGTATTTATGTATAATTTTGTGTTTTCAATCACCAGTACTGACTATAGCAGGGTTAAAACCAGTATAGTAACAAATGTATATCGTTTGTTATAAATGTCTGGCAAACAGCATAATGATTCACTATACATAAGTGTAAGGTGACAGGACAGACACCAGACCTGACCACCTCAGGACTGAAATGAAAGCCAAGGGATGAGCCCTAGCAACCAGAGTCAAAAACAAATACGTGGCTCTATGGTAACCTTTACACCATGGTAACAAGACAACCAATGTCCTCCTCAGGCCTCAATTGGCTGTAAAAGCTGTTTGGACAGGAGCAGACACTACGGCTGCCTGTGGGGTGTAAGGCGCATCATGTCGCCTGGAGTTAGAGCAATCCCATGCTGTAAAGGGTCCTAGGTGACCAAGAGGCACGAGCTTTGGGACTGGTGGGAGGGTAGTGTTCTTGTTCTGGTAAAGTGAACACCTCAGAACTTTGAACGAAACATCTGGGTCAGATCTCATCAGCATCACACATTCACACAGAATGGTTTAAGACGGTTCCATGTCTGGTCCTCAGATTCATTTCTTGAGAACTTTTATGGGGAAAAATGTTACGTAGCCTACATGCTATGTAGACTACATGGGGTTACAGAAATGGCAAACATATTTAAAACGAAATTTTACCCTCTCGAGTTCTCAATGTTTTTTTTTTTTTTTTTTTTTTTTTTGGTAAGGAGGTGAGGGACGAGGCAGTGGAATAGTTTTTTTTCCTACACAATGAACTATAAATCAATGTTAATCAAATTTTCTAGTGCCTTTGGTCAGGAGCATTGAAAATGTTTGTGGTTTTGCATTTTTTCAACTGGATAGGTACCTATTCTATAGAAATACAGAAAGTAGGGGTAGGGGAAGGACAATGAAAACAAATTTAAAGCTCAGGTTATGGGAAACAGATGGCTAAATCTTACTGCCTTAGAGCTGAGGAACATACCGCTTCTCTACACAGCTTTATGTCTTCTGGGGAGGCAGCCACTTTCTCCATCACTTGCAGGGCTCTGTCAAGGTAGCCTGGTTTCCATGTCAGAGGCATGTTGTGGTACACAGCCCGTAGCCCTTGCTGCAACTCCACCTTCCCTGTGGCCAAAAAGAACAATAAAGAATGCTCAGCTATGTCTTCCCACCATTTCTAAGACTGAGGACCTGAAGGCCCAAGTGAATGTTCACCTGGCAGTTCTAGAAACAGAGAAGGATCATTTCAAATCTGTACCAAGAGACTCATCTCATCCAGTGACACTTCAGATGGATAATGAAGAATGTGGTAAAAATTCCATTTTGTAATGCAAAATTACATGAACTTGTTTTTCTTCTTTCTCATTTGGGCTGGTGGAGATTTTCATGAGGATGTATATATAAACCACTGGGCTGAGGGCAACTGAGAAGCTGACATATATGGCTCTAGGTAAGGATACCCTTAAAAAAACAAGTCAACTGAGAAACAATTTTTGTTTCAAGAACAAAATCTTCCCCAGAAAAAGAAATCTCACAACTTTCCTACTGTGAAAATTTTGTCAACATCTGACCACCTTCCCTGCTAGGAAATGTTTGCCATTTTTTGGAATCCTTCAACACACCCAATCCTTATGAAAAAAACCTCCATCTTTCCCTTCTTTCCTTTGAGTTTCACTGGTTTTAAAATCACAGAGTTCATGCTCATAATCTTTTTGGATCTCTGGACGTGAACGTTTCTCTGGGTACCTCAAGCCATCACACCTGGAGTTCAAGATGTGGACACTAGACAGCAGGATCTTCTGGTAGAGAGATGGCTGTCTGTATTTCTGTGGCGCAGAACCTCTCTGCACTAATGACCAAAGTCACCTTGAGCTGTCCAGTCTTAAATCTACCTTCTTTTATCTTTCCTGGGAAGGAGGATTTGGGAAAGCCAGAGTAGGACACAAACAGACAAAGCTTATCAGGAGACAGCTAATTTTAGACCTTTAAGGTGCTTGGGGCTGGGCTGCAGTTACATTCTGGGCAGCTGCTTCCATCAGGGTTGAGTGAGGCTGCATGGCAAATGACACAATGAGAGCAAAGAGCTTCTGATCTGATGGCTGCCATCACAAAGAACCAGGGCCTCTGCTCACAAACCACAACAAAGTACATTTTCTTTGCCCTGTCACTTCTGACCAATTCAGGCTGTGTGACAGTACTGAATGCTAATCTGAAAGCAATGGAAAATACATGTAAATCAACATCAAAAGTAGGTGGCAAATAAGGAAAAAATGATTTTTAAAAAGAGTGGTCAACTCCTTTGTGAGTCTGACAGACAGTCAATAAACTCTGAAGTTCCTCTGAGTTACTATAAATCAGCATCAAGAATAACACACTACATTCTGTTGGCAAAGATCAACTTCAAAAGCAGTCAAACTGCTATAACTTTGTGATTTTCAAAAACAAAGGTAAGCAGAAGTAATGTATAATTGAGAGATGTCTAACTACTTAAGAGATAATGGGAGAATAATGAAATAACATGCATTTAATAAAACTCTGTAAATCAGGACAACATTTTATGTACATTTAGGTTGAACCTTATTTGCCCAGATTCCACACAACCCAGGGTCTGAGGCCATTCTTCAGAAGGCGTTGTCCTCTTAACCTGTCTGATTTTCAATGCAATCAGGGCACAAGAGGAAAGCCACCATCGTACCTCCTGGTGCAATCACATGGTGCCCATGAACTACTCCACTTTTCCTGAAGTGCTACTACTTGTGCTCTTCCCTTACCTGAAAACAATGCCAAAGATACAAGTTCAACTCTAACTCTTAATTTCTTACCTTCTGGACTTTAGATCTAAAGAGACAGAATGATCTTTGTTAATACTGGAAAAGATTCTACTACCTAGTCTCCCTAAACAGGGCCAGAACATCCCTTTCTTTCTTTTTGATCCCTTCCTCAGATTGATGACCACTGAATATTATTACCTATGTCCACCAGAACTAGTTCTTGCTTTGCCAGTGATGGCAGGTTTTAAGAACCCTCTTTACTCTCTTATGTAAGGCCATCAAGGTCTATTTTTATGTCTGAAAATGAAGGCTAATTGGATTTCACTGGTAAATTTAAATCAAATTACAATTTTATCATGAACTGGAAGAATGCAACAATTCTGACCATGAAGAACGATATTTGTAAGGATCATTTAGCTTACCAAGAAGTGCACAGCCATACAACTGGGAACTGAAACCCACTGAGTTCTTTTGTTTTAGGCCTGGAAGCAATAGGGATGCACCAAAGTTCCTCTCCTCTTCCCACTGCAACAGAATATACCAGATCATGATCCATCTAAGCAATGAGTACTTTATACAAAAATGTGACTTTTAATGACACGAGGAAAAGAACATGTTATAGTATTAAGTAAACAAAGAAGAAGAACAAAGCTATATATACATTATAATCCTAATTTTGTGAATAAAAGGTACTTATGTCAAAGAAAAATATAGGGAAGAAATACCCTATATGTTAATAAATTTTTGGGCAGTGAAATTATGAGCAATTTTGGTTTTATTCTCTGTATTTCTTATTATTTTCCAAAAATTTGGCAACGAATAAGTGTTTCTTTTACAATCAGAAAAGGAAAACAAAACAAAAATAAAGAGTACACTTTACACCAACACTCACTTGAGACAATAAAGATTCAACACATTATCAGCCCCACAATCACTCACACTGCTGTGGCCTGATCGAGCAAGCTTTTGAATTTTAAACAATTTAGCAATGATAAGACTTCTTCAGAGTGTTAGAATAAATACCACTATTAAATTGCTTTTAGATAGGTTTGTGCCTCTCAAAAACAAATGAGGCAATCAGAAACAGTAATCATTTCTTTCAACCCAGGGTGCAAAATTACGCTTCAATGAAAGTGAAGCCTTTAGAGACACGGGGGAAACGAAGGGCAGAAACACAAGCATTGCTAAACCTGCTGCAGGCTAGTAGGAATGATGACTGGAGGACTTGCTGGTAATGCGGTCAGGGGAGAGCCTTGGCAACTCCCCAGTGGGATCTGTGATCTTCTTGGTGCCACATGAGTACACACTGGACAGAGTTAGAGCCCTAACTGTAGCTTCAAAACATAGAACACTAAGCTCAGGTTGCCCTGCACTGGTCTCTGCACCCAGAGATTAGGGAGGAAGCAGAGAATGAATAATGTCTGCAGGCTGCAGTTACAGCCACGTGCAAGTGAGGCACCCCAGATGTTCACAGGCACCCAAACCTCTTTACTGTGAGTAGCCTTTGTGCAATACAAGTGTCATTTCTTGAGGCTGCTCCCCTATCTTTGAGAAAAGCAAAGACCTCAGGAGAAAAACAACCCCCCCAAGCACTTCGGCAGCACAGGTAAACAAAAGAGTTGGTAATTAAAAACCAGGTCATTTTACTTTCAAAAGGAAATCACTCTAAGAAGTTTGATTTCCCCCACTTAAAACTGCATGGAAAGTGGGGCCGGCGAATAACAAATAAGGAGCCTTAAAAACATTTTTTCCCCCCTGTAGGGAAAAACATGAGCTACAGTATCAGGCTGTAGCAGGGTTTATTAAAGCCAAACGAACACTAAAATATCTAAGCACTAGATACCTTTTATGTGTTAGGAGTCAAGAAAGGGTGGTGACAGTGACTGGGATGGTGATACTTCTAAAGGACTTCAAAAAAGATGAATGAAAACAAACAAATGACTGTCTTAGAAATTCTCTGATCATTGTCTGGGACTCCTGCAACTACTGCTGCTTACGTGAAGCTATTCATGTGTCAACATAAAATAACAGATCTCTTCCAAGCCTTTAGTTTATTTTCTTTTTTTCTCTTTGGAGACAGGGTCTTGCCCTATTGCCCAGGCTGGAATAAGGTGGTGTGATCACAGCTCACTGTAACCTCAAACTCTTGGGATCAAGGGATCTTCCCAACTCAGCCTCCTGAGTAGCTAGGACTATAGGCATGTGCCACCATGTCTGGTTAATATTTTTTTTATTTTCAATTTTTGTAGAGATGAGGTCTTGCTATGTTGCCTAGCCTGGTCTCAAACTCCTGGCCTTAAGCAGTCCTCTTGCCTTGGCCTCTCGAAGTACTGAGATTACAGGCATGAGCCACTGCTCCCAGCCCAAGCCTTTAATTTCTATTGTAGATACTATAATGGATTAATTCAGGTGTTGTTTCATCAACGCCCTCAAAGTTTTTCCATTTTATGCTTTGCCTCTTCCATTAATACAAAGCAAATCCTCATTCTCCCAACTTCCCCACTTTACTCTCCATTTCATAGCTAGGCATCTTAAAAGAGTTGTCTATACCTCTAATCATTCTACAATCCATTCCAATTTGATATCCTCCTCCATTACTCATATGGAAACAAAGGTTACAATTTAGTGCCTCCCATGCCACTAATGCAGTTAGTGAACTTTTTTTTTATTCCTCATCTTATCCTACCCCTTTGGAAGCATTCTACATAGTAGACCATCTCTTCCTGTGGATTCTGTGGTCCAACACATTCCTGATTTCCCTTCTTTTTACTTTCTGGCTCACATTGGAAACATTTACACAGGGATGTATAAGTCACTTTTTGCAACCATTTACACATGGATGTATAAGTCTCCAAAATTGTATCTCCAGTCTAGATCTTTCCATTAAGCCCCCAGTTCCTTGGTGAAATCTCGTGACTGTCTCAAATGAATTTCAAAATGCAACACGTTCAGAGCCACAGTAACGACTTTTCTCATAATATCCAGTCTTTTCCCAAAGTTCCCTCTTGCAAACAACACATAGAACCCCTTCCAACCAGATGTATGAGTCAGAAACTGAGGAGACAATAAGTGACCCCTGCTTCCCTGCCTCATCTTGTTATCTGCCTCTCAAATACGCCCACTCTCTAACTGCATCATATCCTGGTCTCTATGCTACCATTATCCCTTGCTCAGATTCAAGGCAGTCTCTCAAATCGTCTGACCACAGCCATCCTTGCCTTGCTCTGATAGCTTATCCACAGTACAGCCAGAAGGACCTTATCAAAACACAGATCTGATTATTATATGCCCTCTGCTTCTAACTTTTCAAGGGCTTCTCACTATTTTTAGAATGAACACAGAATGGCTTAGTATGGCCTACATTTTCCAACCCTATCTCACTCCACGTGCTCCCTACCATTTTCTGTCGTAACTACATTGACTATCTTCTTCCAGTCCATTTCTTTTCACTAAGTTTTGTGCCACAGGGCATTTGCACATGTTATTTCCTCTTTTTGGACTGTTCTTCCCCTCCTTAGCCAGTTAATTACCAGTCATCCTTCAATAGTAACCTAAGAAATATTTCCTTAAGGAAGCCCTTCCTAACCAATTTAAGTTTAAAATACAGAGAAAACTCCCTATAATATATTCTTTTCATAGATTTCTCCTTTGTAGTGTTCATGACAGTCATAGTTTTATACCTGTGTGATTGTTTTGTTTAAATGTCTGTGTTCTTCCTAGATTGTAAGCAGGCAATATTTGCTCACCATTATATAACTAGTACTTGCCAATGTATGGAATTTGTATGTGTTCAATATAGTATATTTAATGAATTAATAATGAATGTGGGGTATATCATAAGATTATGACACTCATCTTAGAAAGGCATAACATGCCATCTACTCTTTAGAATGTGGGCTGGACTAAATGACCTCTTCAGTTCCTACCCAAACTGGGATTTTTTGATGTTTACAATTGAGGTTAAGGGCAGATGGCAGAGGCAGACTGACTGGCTTTACCAGGTGGCTTCGTTACCTGCTAGCTGGGGGGTTACTCTGTAACATCTCTGGGCCCCAGTCTCCTTATCTGCCTAGGGTTGTTGTGAGAATTAAATGCATTAATACATTTAAAACAAGAACATAGCCTGGTGCAAAGTAAGTGCTACTTAAAATATCGGTTATTGCTATTGTTATTCTTAGGATAACAATAAGCAATGATTAAATATGTGAACCTAAGACCTGAAACCAAAACTTGATATTGTAGACTTTCCAAAACGGAACTGCCCTAGAGAAACCTTAGGAAAATACTGATACAAATGAAATAATCAGTATTTAATGTCCCAGGTAATGGTCAATGTTAGCTGCCTCACTGCCTCTTTGACATGCCATGTCCAGCTCTCAATGATTTCCAACGACCCATTTCTGAATGTTTGAGGTGCACTCAGCCTAGTTCAGGTTTCAAAATATGCAATCACTTTTGACTCAAGTGGAACAACCTCCAATTCCATTCATTAGAAACCAGTAACCAAAATGTACAGAATAAACACACATTCCAGGTTGTGCCTGGCCACAGAGCAGTAGACACCTTTTTCTAGCTTTTGAGAGCAAGCCCCTGCTTGCCTTTTCTAAAGTTCTTAATGCTGCTTTAGGGAAGATCACTTACACTGAAGTCTGTCTTCTCTGCCAGGCAATGAAATAAAACATAGAGGGAGAGAAGTTGGGTGGAAGGCACTTCAAAGGCTTCTTGCATCACGACCTCAAAAACCACAGATAAAGCATCTGGCAAGAAGACGAAAGTAAAAATCAGAGGAAATTAGTTGTAGGTAATATTACCAAATCTCTTTTAACTATAAACACTCTTAAAAGTGGGGCATGGTAAACAACAACAACACAGAATTAAGAAGTAAAATATGCGGGCTCTGGCCCTAGTTTTTCCACAAACCAGGCTTTTCCTAAGCCTTTAGCTTCTATTTTACATACCAGAATGAACTAAATCAGGTGCTACTGCACCAATGTCCTGAAGGACATTAAACAAACCACTAATTTCTCTTGGCTCCCAGTATCATCTTCATAATAATAAATTACTATTTGCTTCATCTACTTCAAAAGAATTTTGGACAGTTCAACAAGATAATACATATGAAAATGGCTCAAACTGTGATGCAAGTTTAAGGCATCATGTCTATCAGCTAGAAGAGCTAAGGCATAAAGGAGACACATATATTCTCAAGGTCACCCTGACAAGCAAAGCAGAGAGGCTGGTCTGACTGCCCTATTCTCTGCTCTGGTACCTTCTCACTGTTAAGGCAGAAGAGGACAAAATGCTAAAGGAAACCCTAAATCTCAGGTATTATTTCAAAGAAAGCAAAATAATGACTATAAAAAGGACAATAAGGCTCAGTTTAAAATACTTGTTGGAAGGGAATGGGAAATGCTCATTCATAAATTATAAGCCTCTGAGTATAACATATAACATAAGATATTTGTTTGCACACTAATGCTGGTTATTAAAACCTGGGAAGTGGTCTTTAAGCAATTTTTATTTTCCCTTGATATTCTACAACATAGATGGAGGCCAAGAAAATCAAGTCAAACAATTTCTTTCTGTAGTTATTTGGTGGTAAAGTAGAGAATATTAACAATGGCTTAACACATAGTGCCTGTTCATATCACAAGCACAACAAATATTTTTCACTTAATGAGTTTTTTTAAACCAATTTTTACATATATTCATAACTATAAAATAGCACTGATTTGCACCTGTTCCTAGCAAGCTGGTTGCACATGTTGTCATGGTTCTGAATGAGGCCATAGGCATGAATGTCTGTTCTTTTTGCAAATGGGGAAACTGAGATAGACAGGTAGACCAGGTAGTCATCTAATAAGTCAGTAGAAAATTAAGAACCTGGAAGGAATTTTCTTTTACATAAACAAGCCAGTAATATTTTAAAAGAGCATAGGCTAAAAATTCAGTTGAAAAAAAAAATCTCATTTCTGCCAACTGTTCATTACTGAATCCAAAATTATACTTGAAAAATAAATTTACTTTATCCTTTATTTATATTCTACATTTCAGTCAGTTTGGGAAGTGAAATTAGATTGGACAATATAATTAACTTACTTTTCCTCTATAATCATTTATGTACTTTGATATTTTTTATCTTAACAAAAATAAAAATAATATTTTTAAAAATTTTGCATAAATGATAATCGTCTAAACTTTTCTGACTAAAAGAGTGATGAAGAGATGTTATTAAGAAATAAAAAAGGGGAAGTTCCTACATTTGTACACCTCCCTTTGGGAGCCGGAAGCCCTATAAACACTGAATCTGGGCTTAGTTTCTTACCTTTGTAATTTTCTTTCTTTATGAAAGAATCCATCAGTAAATTGAATGTAAAGTTATCTGGAAAAATTCCATATTGAACCTATAATGAAATGAACATAACAGGAAAAAAAGAGAAAATTATCTAATTTAGTCTGTAATATATGCCTATGTTATTCAGAATAAAACTTGTCACTATTAGCTTTAAAATATTTGACTATCATTTTACAGCATCTGTGACAGTGAAACAGAAGCCATGACTCATGAGGTCTGGTATGAGGCACTGTTGGTCAGTGTGAGAAAGTTGTGAGTGGGTGTCTGATATAAGACAACTGATATGTAAAAACTAAGGCTTCAATTCTAACACCTCATCATAGCTTAAAAAAAAAAAGAAACCCACACAACCCCCCTAACTGGTTCAGTGACTCTTTTTATAAAGTATGAATAACAATGCAAAAACTCTCATGAGAAAGCAGACATTACACAGCATTTTCTGGTTCTTAGCCTGGCTTTTCAGGTCCCAAGAAATATGTCAACAAATATTTGCTATTAAATTTCTAGAAAGTTGTGTCATACAACTGAATACTTGAGAATTCAGATTTCTTAAAATGTGGACCCTTTAGCACCTGCAGGATGTTGACTTTCTCGGAGTGTTTTTAACAATACAGATTCCTACATCTCAGACCTACAGAACCAGAATCTCTGGGAATTGAGCATAAAAACCTGAATTTTTAGTGAGCTTCTCGCGATTTTCATGCATACTCATTTTACTACCAGTGATCCAGATTGTGGCTGCATTTTTATCTGTTTCAAATTCTTCAGTAATGTTAACCACCATTCCCCACAGGCTCCATTCTTCCTTCTTGCAACCAGTAGAAACACCTGAGGAATTTTCTAAACTATATCCCTATCTCCTTGAGAGATTTTGATACAGTCCTAACCCCCAACTGTGAATCATCACTGAGCTGACTCATTGTTTCCAGGAGTTATATATAGGAGCCTCAGGTGTGCTGAAATGGAAACGTGTCTAAAAAATCACTATTTTAAAGGTTGTAGCTCATGGCCAGTGTCTATATTTCTCAAAGCAGTCATCCAAATCAGTATTAATCCCTAGGGCAGGGTAAAAACCAAAATATTTTAGGATGACAAATCATTAAAGTTGAAAGGGATTTTAGAAATCAACTGGTCAATGATTCTCAACCCAGGCTGTAAATGAGAACTGAGAGCTTTAAAAAACAAACAAACAAACAAATAAACAAACCCAATGAGGGATGAACAGTCAGGGATGAGGGATGATACTACAGTGGTGGATACATGTCATTATACATTTGTCCAAACCCATAGGATGTACAACATTAAGAGTGAACCCTAATGTAAACTAGGGCTTTTGGGTGACAAGAGTTTGTCAACATAAGTTCATCAATTTTAATAAACGTACCACACTGGGGCAGGATGTTGATTATGAGGAAGGCTATGCATGTGTTGGGGCAGGGAGTACATAGAACATCTATGTACTTTTCACTCAGTTTTGCTGTTGAAGGAAACAAAAATATTTCTCCCCAAAATCATTGAGGATGTTAAGTGAAAGACACCGAAAATGCAGGGGAACACTCTGCCACAGCCTCCAATTGCCTAATGGCAGCACACAAATCCTTCCTTCCTAGAACAGCACTTGCTTCTAAGCCCAGAGAAGGCACCAGCAGGCACCAGAGGAATCTGAGAACAGATTTTACTATCTTCCCACATTTTCCCACCTTTTGAAGACTGTAACTTTTCCTTCCTTTGTCTTGTCACTGTATAGGATTTATGTCCCTTGGCTGAAATACTATTTCAGCAAAGCCCTAAGCCACTGCCTTGAGATAGAAACACTTTTGAACTGAGGCCTTTCCTGTGTGATGAGTACAGCATATATTAATAATCTTCTGCTTGTTTTTCTTTTGTTAATCTGACTTTTGTTTTCAGCAGAGTGTCTCAACTAAGAACCTAAAAGCAAAAGAAAATAAATTATGTTTTCTCTCCTACACTGTGAACCCGAAACTGACAGAAACATTTAAACTTATTTAAAAAAAAATTTAAATTCCAATGCCTGGGCCCCAGACAGATCAATTAAACTAGAATTTCAGGAGTAGAGGCAAACATCTACATTTTTTAAAAAGCTTCTTGGGTGACCCTAATGGGCAGCCAGAGTTGGAAATCACTGATTTACTACAACCCACTTGACTTAGAGTGGAAAACACTAACAGCAAGAAGAATATAGTTATTTGCCTAAAGTTACCAGCAACCAGTGGAGTCTGTGGGGCTACAGACTGGACCTTCTGATTTCTAGTTTGATGTCCTTTCCACTAAAAGACTCAAGAAGCAGCAAAAATTCTAGACCCTCCTAGTTTTGTTATCATAGGAATCTTTGAGTGTAACGTGTGGCATTATACTCTGAACTGAAGAAAACAAGATTTAATCCATTCCTTCCTCTGGGTCTTCCATTTTCTCCTCTTGAGATTCAAGGCTATCATCTTGATTGGACTTACCTAGGGAACTAGCTCAATCTCTTACTCCCTTCCTTACCTGGTTCCTCCCTTAATATACCTTATACCCCAGAAAAAGGCAATGTATTACTGTTCAGACTGAGTCTTTGTTTTCACCTAGATATACCTCTGGTAATATTGTTTCTGCCAGCCCATCTCCATGTGCAAGCATATGTCTTTTGGTGACCATCTTAAATGGTACCTCAAGTCTCTTTTAATTATGTCCTTCCTATCGGATTCCCTCATCTTAATTCTCCAAGTTGTTTTCACTGTTTTTCTTTTCTTTTCTTTTTTTTTGAGACAAGGTCTCATTCTGTTGCCCAGGCTGTAGTGCAGTGGCGTCGTCACAGCTCAATGCAGTCTCCACCTCCTAGGCTCAAGTGATCCCCCTACTTGAGCCTCTAGAGTAGCTGGGACTATAGGTCTCAAACTCCTGCGCTCATGTGATTCTCCTATCTTGGCGTCCCAAAGTGCTGGGATTACAGGCATGAGCCACAGTGCCTGGCCTTTACAAATATTCTTGTGCGGCACTTACATTTGCCTAATATTAGATTTATAAGTAACCCAGCTTATCTGCCTTATTAAATTATAAGCTTCCTGAGGGCAAGAACAGAATATTGCTCATTTTTGTATCCACTATCAATAACCAATCCAATGTCTCACAAATAAACTGTATATAACATATATTAAGTTGAATTGGGTCCAAGTCATGGAAATAAAACATTCTGCACAGAAGGGGACTCAAAATCAGCATTCCTTTTCGGTGCTAACTTTCAGGGTCCAGTGACATTATAGACACAATACCTTTTCATTAAAAGACTGTTAAAATATCTTTTTGGTTCAAACTAGTATTTAGCTTCAGACTCACAATAATAACATTCTAAATCTCTGTTTATTTTGTTTTTGCTGCATACTGTGGAAGGTAAGTAAGACTCAACTCTTGGGTGCTGTAACAGTTAGAAAGATCCTAATCCTAGAGGGTCTCAGGCTTGATGGGAGGAGTCAGGGAACTCAAAAGACATAGGAGCAAACATGGATGGTCCCTACACTTCACCAGAGGGAAACAGGCAAGAAATCTAAGGCTTAGCAATCAAGAATGAAATGACCACCACTGGAGAGTTCTTCTGATTAGACTACCTTTTGCTTATACCTGTCCTTTTCTGAGTCACTATGTTTGGAAAAGCAGCAGCTCAGGATTTTTTTTTAAAATTTATTAACTTATACCCAGCTTCATTATTAACTTATACCCAGCTTCATTCTGTTAATAAGAAGAATATTTGAGGTCAAATAATTTTTAAAAGTTATTTCTGGTGTTATTCTTTGCTGTACTACAGTAGGTACAAACATCATATCATCTAAACTCAGAAAAACAGGTTGCAGATCTATGGAACCACTCACCTTATTTACAAGGGTATATAAGGCTTTGTCTTGTGCATCATATTTTAGACACTGCCTAATCCAGCTGTGGATAGTCCAGTTTCTCAGGTACCAGCAGTTGGGGCTGTGTCGAAATCTAAATAAGCAGAAGAGAAGAGAAAACTGGTGTTAGTTAACTCTTACATGTTAAAACACATCTTCCATCGATAGGTCCTTCTCTTAGATATTTAGTGTGCAATGTAACAGAAATTCATAAAAGTGAACAGTCGATACAAACTTGAGAATGAAACTGATTAACCACAAAGTCTGAAATGGTAAAGAGAAGGCAAACTAATAAATAACAAAAAAGATTTACAAAAATTGTATTCCTTATACCCCTTACCTCAATACCTTATTTTAAGAGATTTATGAAAAATGATTTGGGGAAAATACTAATCATGGCATTATGTAAACAGATATTTCATTAGAAGAGGTGTGAAACTTAAGCTGAAACTTTGGAAGTTTAAAACAAATGAAGAAAATAAAAAATAGGATAGCATAGCAACTCTGTAGAGGAGAATCAGCTTTGAGTAACAGTGATATTTCCTGTGGCTCTTACGAGAGACTGGGACATTCTTCACTGAGTCAAAGGAAAACAGAGGAAAAGAAATAAAAGTTGAGTAAAATTTAACATTCATGTCCTCCAAGATCCACAATCCCACACTGCCTTCTTCACAGTTCCATTGTAGCTCGTCAGTTTATCCCTTACTTCCTATAGCTCCCCACAGGGTCTTAAAAGTCTGAAGCAGCCCAGTATGAGTTATATACAATAATAGTATACCTACAAAGGAATGGTGCTTGGAAAGGAATTCCAAATGCTGCTTTTGCCTTAGTCCACGCACATTGCTAACACCTGGGATGGAAGCTGCTACTCCTAGTTCCTGGGGTTCATGATAAAAGACTGGGTGGAGATTGTGCTCTAAGATGGGGGTGGAAAGGGCTCTGTAGTCCCTCTTTTTATTTATCTACTTTGATTAGGATGGACCTTCATATACTATACTATATCATGTTACCTGAAATCCCCATGTTTTCCTTAATCATTCAGGAAGCAGGCCAATCACTGGGCCCCACGAAAATCAAACTCTTTTCTTAAAAAGCAAGAGGAGAGACAAAAACCTAGTGCTAAAGGATTCCATGCCATAATTGAGAGTCAACGGTACAGATGAATACTAGTGCCTTTCAGAGACTGATAATTCAGTCTGCCTCCTGCTATTTCCTGCCATCTGCTATTGGGATGGTTTCCTCTGAACAGGTTCTCTGCCAAAGTAATAGCTAAGAAAAGGAGAGGAAGTGAGAAATAGTATTTAATTTAGGATATCTATTAGTGCTCTGGTGAGAGATTTGGCAAAAATAAGATCCAAAGATGTTTTATGGATTTAGGGTCTTCTAGGCCACCTGATTCTCTTCAATATTTTAGGTTTTGCTAGAAAATGTCTCTCTCACTCTATTTTTCTCTACAAATTAGCCCCTTTAAAATCACAAATAGAGAAATATGTCAAATTAGGTTTAGAATAAGAGTGACATGGCCAGAGAAAGGCACTATATAGGGGACCTAGATATTTGATCTTATAAGATCCTCTGCACAGAAATGAAACAAAATACACCTTTTAGTATTTCATTTTTTCCCTCATTTTTAATTTTTATTTTTTGAGACAGGGTCTCACTGTTGCCCAGGATGGAGTGCAGTGGTGCAATCCTAGCTCACTATAACCTCAAACTAACTCCTAGGCTCAAGCAATCCTTCCTGCTAAGCCTCCCAAGTAGCTGGGAGTATAGGTGCATGCCACTATGCTCAGCTTATTTTTTGTACAAACAGGGTCTTGCTATGTTGCCCAGGTAACATTTTCAAATCAATAATTTAGCTACTTTATTCTTGTTTCTCTGAACAATCTGAGATTTAACATGAAATGACCAATTAAAAATGAGTTTCATTTTTTAAAGAAAAAAGTCAAGTGAAATATCAGGTGTATTGCTTCAATGATGGTGACGCTTCCTCATCAGCCTGTGAGTTCCTGGGTTAGCAGAGACAGAGATTGACTTGCTCAATACTGATTCCTGTACTGACACAATTCTTGGCCCATAGGTTTTTCAGCCAATAAAAAAAAAAAGAGCTTTAATCAACACTGGTATTAAATGCTGTTATGTCCCAATCTTTTGTTAATGTCTATGGTATATATGAAGATACGTAAATTTCCTTTTTGGGGCATTTAGAGTCTCATTACAAAAAAGATGCACACAAAATTTAATAGTAATACAAGGTGGAGCATGATCAGTGCTAAAGACAAAAGGGATTGCTAGAGGCTAAAGAGTTTTTGGTAGTAGCAGTTGTTGGGTTTAGTCAATTTTTCCTTTAAAAAGGAACAAAACAGGCCGGGCGCGGTGGCTCAAGCCTGTAATCCCAGCACTTTGGGAGGCCGAGACGGGCGGATCACGAGGTCAGGAGTTCGAGACCATCCTGGCTAACACGGTGAAACCCCGTCTCTACTAAAAAATACAAAAAACTAGCCGGGCGAGGTGATGGGCACCTGTAGTCCGAGGCAGGAGAATGGCGTAAAAACCCGGGAGGCGGAGCTTGCAATGAGCTGAGATCCGGCCACTGCACTCCAGCCTGGGCGACACAGCGAGACTCTGTCTCAAAAAAAAAAAAAAAAAAGGAACAAAACAAAATATAATGTTTTTTGGTAATGACTTTGGGAAAAAATATATCAAATGCCAATTACTACCCTCACTCAAGATGATTTTAAACCTAATCCTCATTTTAAATCTAAGGTTCTGGCCCAGGATGTTTCCAATGACCACTAAAGTTGTAACTTTTTTTTGATGATGAACTTTACAATAAGAACACCATGACCATATCCAACCAAACACCTTTCTCTTATTCATGATCAACAGACCACTTTTAGGCTTTGAAAAATAACAAAGACTGATAATGAGAGCCTAGTTTTAGACCTTCAAAGCTCAAATTAAAACATCTAAAGCCATCTGCTAAGCTTCTAAGGCTAACTTCAACACATGGAAGAGCAAGAAAGTCTCTTCTTCTTAAAAGCCCTTCCTTCACAGACTCTCTCTCTCAGAAGCCTAAAGGGAAAGTTACTCAAGACTTCACACATCGAATATAATCATCTCTGCACAGCAGCCCTTTGAGATATTTGTTAAGACACTGAGAAGTCTTTAATAAGTCTACTCCCTCTCCTATCCTGGGACAAGGCTACTTGGTATGAGCTTTGCTCTCTAAGCCCTAACAATCCTAGACCCAATTATGTCTAGGGCATTTTCTTTCTTTTTTATTGTATATACATTTTGAGAGATAAAGTCTCACTCTGTCACCCAGGCTGGAGTGCAACTGCAAGATCACAGCTCACTGCAGCTTTGAACTCTTGGACTCAAGCGATCCGAACCTTTGCCTCCTTCTTTATTTCTGTAGAGACAGGGTTTTGCTATGTTGTTCAGGCTGGTCTAAAACTCCTGGCCTTAAGTGATCCTCCCACCTCAGCTTCCTGAAGAGCTGGGATTATAGGCATGAGCCACTGTGCCCAGTCTAGGACATTTTCAATGAACTCTCACAAAAAATAAACTGAGGAATAGCAGTGAAATACTTACAAACTTACTATAAAATATGATGCCCAAAGTGCAATTCCTGAATTTCCCAGTCAGGCAGCAAATGAACTCCCTTCTAGGCCCCCATCAGCATTAAAAAGAGAAGCTTATGTGAGTGGCTATCTGGAATATAAACAAGTCAAAACACTGGGCCAGCGGGGTTCAATTTTGGATGGCAAGTTTGAGAAGAATTTGTATTGGTGACTTTTGAAGCAGTTCAGACAAATAAACGTGGGGACTTTTCAACTTCCAGTAGTAATATGTCAGGTGAGTGAGTCTCTGGAATGGGCACTTGCCTGGAATGATTCTGTGGACTGCTAGATGAGCATTCTCTCTTTCTGCCAGAAGAAAGGCAAAGAGAAAAGAATACAACTAACACATTGATTTTCCAATTTGCCTGCAAACAGACTGGCTTTTGTTCTCGCCTGCTCTGACCACCAGCCTGGCAGATTACAGACAGCCACTGCAGGAGTCCCCTCTGTGCGCCTATGCCATCAGCTGTTTGCTCACCTCGACAGAAGCTTTATTATTGCCTAGGCCAGCAGGCTGTCAAGATAGGCAAACATCTGAGTATAGAAAAGAGAAACAAATATAATGCAAATAACCCCAACAAGGTTGTGCTCATGAAGGCTAAAGGTACTCTGAACTTTCAGCTTATAAAATGTGATTATACTTACAAAAATTCTAAGAAAATGTATATTTCTTGGAGGAGCATAAGAGTGACGAAGTATACTCTCAAGTTCCAGCTCTAGTTCTAAAAGTTGGTTTCCCATGGCTAAAGAGATCTCTGTCCCCAGTGTTGAGTAGAATTTTCAGGTGAAGACAGAGCTTGCCTAGGAAGCCAAACCACGGCCAATCAAATAGCAGGAACTGAGAAGCTTCCTCTTCTCAAAACTCAGGCCATACTCAGAACTCTTAAGGGCATCTTCCTGCACTGCTGCTCATTTAAGACTGATGTTACCAGGAAAGAAGGGGAGCAGAATCACAGGCTGCCAAACCGACATGGGAGTGAAAGTCTTGGATATTGCAGAGATTTCTTAGAAGGGAAGAGAGGTTATATAAAAGAGACCAAGAGTGAAAAGAAAAACACGAGAGACTGACTGTGATTATATAGGAGATACTTTATTGTGTGTAAAAGTCACATGGGCTTTCTTGTTTAGGTCAGGAGTTTGAGACCAGTCAAGGCAACACAGCGAGACCCCGTCTACACACACACACACACACACACACACACACACACACACAGCACTCATAGCACACATACACACCAAAAAAAGGAAAGAAAAAAAAAAAGTAAAATATATCCTTTCTTCCATGGGGTTGAAATAAAGGTTTTGTTATTGTTGAATGGCTAAAGTGGCAGTGCTCATCAGCTCTTTTGGTCTCACAAATAAAAATGCTTCAGGCTGGGCAGGCCCAATGCACAGATGCCAGAGCCTGGAGCCCAGCAGCTCACAGCTCCACCATTTAGCTGCAACACTGGCTCTTCCACATGAATGAGCAAGCTTTCCACAATGTTTATCTGATTCCGAGAGCCACCAGCCCTAAACACACACATGCAGCTTTTCCTCCGCTCCAGTGAATTCTGTATCCTGTGGCAACAGGCTTTACAGATGGGAACCTCAGCCACAGAGCTGGGTAGACATAGAGATGGGAGAGGGGGTCAGGGTAAAGGGAGGAAAGAAAGAATGCCAAGAAGAAAATATGGCTGGCTTCAAAGCCTGCAGTGTAGACTGAGGATCTTATCAATGAAAGAAAGTTAGTAATTATCAAAAGGAATGAGCGCTTCCTTGAACTAAAACCAAAGGACAAGAGTGTCACGTGACTATTTAAATCAGAATCTGATTCAATCACTGCTACTCACTTTCTCATTATTTTCTTTTTCATCCTGCTAGAAATTCTGCTTTCACAATTGTTAATTTCAAAACTAACAATTATTAGTCGCCCCCAGCTACCACAAATAAAATCAAATTTTGATGAGATAATTTTCTAATGACTATTATATTTTTGTCAAGTACTAAAAAAAAGAGGGCAGGGTTTAATACATACATCGATAATAAAAACATCAGTATTATAAGTTAAAATTTCCTGCTTGGGATCTCAGATTCTTACTCAAAGAATTTAAGGTAATTTTAACTTTCCACATACATATACTTAGCCTGCACAAAATAAAAGCATCAAGTGCAAGAATCCCCTCCAAAACACCTCTCCCACCCTGCCACCAAAAGTTTGGGCTTGAATATTTCCAATGAATTCACTATCTACCTTCACAATGCAGATAAAAATGTGTTTCTTTTTTTTTTTTTTTTTTTGAGACGGAGTCTCGCTCTTGTTGCCCAGGCTGGAGTGCAATGGCACGATCTTGGCTCACCGCAACCTCTGACTCCTGGGTTCAAGCGATTCTTCTGCCTCATCCTCCCAAGTAGCTGGGATTACAGGCATGTACCACCACGCCTGGTTAATTTTGTATTTTTAGTAGAGACAGGGTTTCTCCACGTTGGTTAGGCTGGTCTCGAACTCCCGACCTCAGGTGATCTGCCCATCTCGGCCTCCCAAAGTGCTGGGATTACAGGCGTGAGCCACCATGCCTGGCCAAATGTCTTTCTTTAAAAGTTCTAATTTTTAAAAAATTAAAGTCAAGTTTACAGAGATACAATGTACAAACAAAAAAATTCACACTTTCAGTTTATAGTTCTATCAATTTTGACAAATGTATCCAGTTGCATAATCATGACCACAGTCAAGATAAGCCCCCTCTGTATTCAACCTCCCCAGGGTTTGCTCGTCAATTTAAGCAAATTTTATATAGGTAACCTCCTTGGGTCCCTTTCTAGATCTAGAGTTATTAATTTTATAAGAGGAAAAGCAAATAGGGTAATAAAACCACCACAATATCTATTGGTTGGTTTATAATTTATATTTTGTCAATTTCCCAGTAGAATTTGAAAAAATTAAAACTTAGCTTGTGAGTAGTTTCTTTTTTTGAGCCCTACATATAGCCATTAGACTTTCTGGAATCCCTGCCTGCTAGTCTAAAAATGGTGATGAGTAAGTAGATTTTTGGTAGAGAATAACAGGGGCATAGAATTTCGCAAATGTGGAGTGCTAAATAAATGCAGCATAACAACACGTTTTTTGAAATGTAGATAGATAACAGAGGGACTTGTTAGATATCAAAGTCTGAATTTGTCAGACCAAGGGCTTATAAAAAGAGGCCATTAGCATTTCACCTGGAAACACACTGGTATAAATATGATATACTAGAAACTATTCCAGGAGAGTTATTCTTATTATCCACATCCTCTCATGAAACAGAAAGCAATCAAAAGTAGGACACATGTCACCAAATTATTCTCTCTCTCCCTGCTCTCTGACCTGCCTGTGGTTTTGCCAGATCTAACTCTCAGTCTAGAAGACATATTTCTGCTTCATTTAAGGAGTAGCTAGCTACCTTTTGCTTAGGAACGGTGACCTATATTCTTTTTTTTTTTTTTTTAAGTAGAGATGGAAGTGTTGCTATGTTGACCAGGCTGATCTCAAACTCCTGGCCTCAAGTAATCTTCCTGCCTCAGCCTCCCATCATGCCTAGCCCTAACTCCTATCTTAAAGATGACATCTCTCCCTTTCTGATACAGAAAAAAACACCTATAGACAGACTCTACGCTCTGCTGCTCTCTCTCTCTCTCTCACTTTCATGGTATGTAAGGGAGGCAGTCAGAATGAAGCCAGTTGTGTTCTTTGTCTAAAGCCTGGAACACTATTTTATCAGCCTCCAAAGAGCAATATGTGTAGATAACCAGGGAGGATTACTTGTGGGGAGAATGGGAGAAGAAACAAGTATTTACAGTGATCACTGAGGTGCCCTTCTGGAGTTGGTCCTAAAACCAGAAAATGGCTTTGTGGCCACCACCTGACCTATCAGTGAAACTGCACCCAGAAGCAGCTGGTAAGACTTCTCCAGCCTCTCTAAAGCTGTACGCACACTGGCTCACAGGTCAGCTTCAGAATGACTGAGAGGCAGTTGCTGAAGCCCAAGGTTAGGCTACAGAGGGTCTTTACCTAGGAACAGTAGGAAGTTGAGAAAAACTGGATCCCAAACCAGTCCTGTTTATAAAAGCATATAAAGTTGTGGAAACTGGCTTGGTTTGGATAGAGATAAGATAAATGTTTTGGTTTTCAGTAGGAAATTTATGAGCAATAAATGAGCCAGTTTTAAATACATGCAAACATTTCCTTATGTCTCCTAAAGCTTTGGCTAGGAACTGCAGAAAAAATTTCTGCAAAATCATAAATAATACAATGACTAAGATAGGAAAATCACATATATTAATTAAACACTGGTTTTGAATAATTCTGGGAAAAAGAAAGGTGAGAAAGAAAAAAAAAGGAGGAAAACAAAGGAATAGAATAGAAATAAAACCCAGAAATTCTGGAGTATGCTAGCTTAGTGAAGTTGTCAGGATTAAGTCTGCCACAAAAGAAATAAGCAGGCAAAGGGCCTGGCCCAGGAGATGAAGCACACCAGGGTAAAATCAGAAAAGAATTAAGCTGGTGTTGAGCAGATTTATATGTGTTTGTGTGTGAGATTATGGATTTCTTTAGGGGTATTTCTGAGGGAAGAGAAGCTCAGTACTAATCAGGATTTCTTAAGAATCAGAATTTTTTTTTAAAGAAGAAAGGCATCTCAGTATTTTAAACATTCTGATTCTCTAACACATGAAAAAGTTAAATCCCTAGGCATTCTTTGTTTGCAGCAAAAGTAAGGTTGGACATACTTCCAGTGATACAATCCAATTCATAGCTAGTTTCTATTTCTGTAACTCTACTGACTCCTCTATTAAGCTTTTAAGCTCTTAAAAGGCTGGAGACAAGTTATCTATCATTTTGCATCCTACAAACAAGTAAATAAGGACTCAAGTAGGTGCCTGATGATTTGGCAACAGTGACTAGGCCTGCTAAGACTGTGTAAATACCAATAATGCATGCTTATTCATGAGGATTATTTATATTTGAAACAGTAATTCACTTCCACTTGTGAAGTATCATCCTCGCTAAAAGAAAGTTGAAGTCAAGAAGAAATGCTGCCGTTTTTGTACAAGGCAGGAGGAGATGAAAGATGGCAGAGGAAGTGGAGTAGTATGTGGTCATTGTGGAAAGCCACTTAGTCCTCATTCCCCCTCCCCTACTGTTCCTTCCCACATACATAAAAGGATGATACATGGATTCTTTAGTGCAAGTTGGGGGAAAAGACAAGCTGCTAGGAGAGTGAAGCCAGTAAGTTGAGGACAGAAGCCAGAGTACATGGGTTCACAGAACTTCCTAACAGGAACTCAATAAA